TTTTTATCTTCCATAATAAAGTTGCAATCTGTTTTAATCCTTGGAGATTTTAACCTTCATGTGGATGACAGCTCATCTGGCTCTGCAATGGAACTTTTAACATTGACTGAATCTTTTAATTTTGACATGTCTCTGAGCCCACACATCAAAAAGGCCACATTTTAGACTTAGTTTTTACACTCAGCCTACACATTTCAAATGTGACTGTAAACTATGTCCATATGAGTGATCACAGAATTGTTTTGTTTGATCTGCTCTTCAGCCCTGAGCCTAAGCTCCCAAAAGTTAGATCCCAGAGACTTATCTCTCCAAAACCGTAGACGATTTCTCCTCCATGTTTGACCCTCTTGTGTTTATTAACTGCCCTGATGTGGACCACTTCATGCACTGTTTTGACTATCATTGTGTAAAAATCCTGGATCAGGTGGCACCTGTCAAATCGAATTTGTCAACTCAGAAAAAAACATGCCCTTGGATTAATGAAGACATCTCTAATCTCAAGAGACTTTGCCGAAAGACTGAGCGTCTGTGGAAATCCACCAACCTTGAGGTGCACAGGCTTTATCTTTGGAATCTTGTGTCCGCATACAATGATATGGTGGTGTAAGGATGAAAGAAACTCATCCTAACAGGTGGAAAATGCCAGATCTGACTATATCCATCAGCTGGTAATAGTTAATAAGAAAAACCCCAAAGTGTTGTTTGACACGATTAATTGTCTTGTATGTCCTGCTGCTTCAGCTATCCCTATTTTCTGTGAAGCTGACAGCAATGATATTCTGAGATTTTTTAATAACAAAATTAAGATAATTAAGGACAAAGTCTCACCCCCATTGTGTGGTTCCCCTGCTGTCATTGTGCCCGTCTCCAGCATGTGGTCCTCATCTAAGCCTGTGTCCCTTGATGATATCTCTGCTTTGGTGACCAAGATGAAACCCCCCTCTTGCTCTTCTGATGTCCTTCCTTGTAGGCTCTTTGGAAAAGTGTTTGATGTAATTGGTCCCTGGGTTACTAAAATGGTTAACCTCTCCCTCTCCACTGGTGTGTTTCCCAGTGCTTTTAAACATGCCATAGTAGAGTGCTTACTCAAAAAAACAGACTAAGATCCGACTGACCTAAATAATTTCAGGCCTATTTCCAAGCTCCCATTCTTGTCCAAGATCTTAGAGAAGATGGTCTCAGAACAGTTGTCATTTTTTCTGGATCAAAATAACATCCATGAGACATTTCAGTCTTGGTTTAGCAAGCATCACTCTACAGAAACGGCTTTACTAAGAGTGTCCAGCGACAATATGGTGTCGGCTGACTCCGGAAAATGCTCTGTTCTAGTTCTCTTGGATCTGTCCGCAGCCTTCGACACTCTTGATCACCTCATCCTGCTGATAAGACTGAGGGATCAAGTTGGTCTATCAGGGCTAGTCCTGAATTGGTTCTCCTCCTATTTATCTGGTCGTAGCTTCATTGTTACAGCTAACCATATAAGGTCTGATTCAGTGGATCTGTTGTGTGGTGTCCCTTAAGGTTCCGTTTTGGGTCCTGTGTTATGTTTGCTGTACCTGATCCCTTTGGGAAAAGTTCATCCAAAGGTTTAGTGATGTGTCATTCCACCTGTTTGCTGATGATATCCAGCTTTACTGCTCCTTTAAGCCTACGAAGATCCAGAAGCTTAACTCCTTAGTCCAGTGCTTGGAGGAAATTAAAAACTGGCTTTGTGAAAACTCTTGGCAGCTAAATGCAGACAAAACGGAAACACTGGTTATTGCCCCTGATGATTCAATTCCAGGGATTAAACAGTACTTGGGTGACTTAGGCCAGTCAGCTAAACCTAGCCTAAGAAACCTGGGTGTCATCTTTGACAAAGACATGTCCTTAGTGCAACACTGTAAACAGTTGACGAGAAACTGCTTCTTTCAACCAAGGAAAAAATCTAAGCTTAGGAAAATGGTGTCACGAAATGGCTTAGAGCACATCATTCATGCCTTTGTGTCGTCACATTTAGACTTCTGTAACAGTTTGTTTTCATGTCTGAACAAAAAGGAGCTGTCTCGTCTTCAGTTACTGCAAAACTCTGTAGTGAGAATTCTAACCCGCGCTAATAGGAGGACTCACATATCCCCTATTCTGAAAGCTCTACATTGGCTGCCTGTGTCCTCTAGGATCAATTTTAAAATTCTGGTCCTGACATTTGGAGCCTTGCATGGTCAGGCTCCATCTTACATTTGTGACCTGATCCAGCCTTACAACCCCTCTCGGCCTTTGAGGTTCATGGATCAGAATCTGCTGATGGTTCCGCACACTTGTTTTCGGACCAGAGAACAATGATCCTTCCAGGCTGCTGCCCCCAGGTTTTGGAATAATCTTCCTCTCTCTCTGTGCTTAATTGACTCTGTTGACTCCTTTAAAGGCCAACTTAAAACTTATTTATTTGCTCAAGCTTTTGTTTAATTGTTTTTGGGGCTGCTATGACTGTTTAATGTTTATGTCTGGGCTTTTAATTTATATGTACATTTTTTATTTGTTTATGTGAAGCACTTTGTGACACTTTTGTCTGTGAAAGTGCTATACAAATAAAGTTTACTTACTTACTTACTGTTAGCTGTATATACAGGGCACCAGGTACAAACATTGATACTTTTAGAGAATGGATGGAATGTATGTTTTCCAATAAAAGTAATAAAGTAGTTAACATATGTGTCGATTTCAAAATCAACATATTCAGTCCTAATAAACATAAAGCAACTGAGGAATTTATCAATGCAATGTACAGTTTAAGTCTTTTTCCAAAAATCACCAGACCCACCAGAATTACACCAAACTGTGCCACCATGATTGATTATATCTACACCAATGATATTGAAGACAAAACAATAAGTGGCATACTAATTAATGACATCAGTGAACATTTGCCAGTTTTCATCATCTATGATTATAATTACAGGAGCATGAAAATAGATAAGCAAATGGAATACAGGAGACCAAGGTCAGAAGAAACAATGAACACATTCAAGAATGAATTACTAGCACAGAATTGGAAGTATATTAAGAAAATAATGTGAATAATGCACATGAAATATTTTTAAGTGTATTAAAGCAATTACAGTGCATCCAGAAAGTATTCATACTACTTCACTTTTTCCAAATTTTGTTACGTTACAGCCTTATTCCAAAATGGATTCAATTCATTTTTTCCCTCAAAAATTCTACACAAAATACCCCATAATGATAAAGCGAAAAAATTTTTTTTAAAACATTTTGCAAATTTATTAAAAATAAGACACTCAAATGTTGCGTATACATAAGTATTAACACCCTTTGCTATAAAACTCACAATTGAGCTCAGGTGCATCCTGTTTCCACTGATCAGCCTTAAAATGTTCCTCCAACTTGATTGCAGTCCACCTGTGGCAAATTCAGCTGATTGGACATGATTTAGAAAGCCACACCTGTCTATATTAGATCACACAGCTCACAGAGCACGTCAGAGCACAAACCAAGCCATGAAGTCGAAAGAATTGTCTGTAGACCTCCGAAACAGGGTTGTATCTGCGCACAGATCTGGGGAAGGTTACAGAAAAATATCTGCTGCATTGAAGATCCCAAAAAGCACAGTGGTCTCACAGTCTCACAGTGGTGAATCCATTTTGGAATAAGGCTGTAACATAACAAAATGTGAAAAAAGTGAAGTGGTATGAATACTTTCCGGATGCACTGTATATGATAATTATATGTGGCTATATTTCAGCCAAAAGAGGCTCAAAATTAGATATATAATGTATAAAAAATAAGCTGACTTATATTTTTAGGAGAAGCAAGAAAGATTATTATTGCAGATTATTATAGGATAACAAAAATAATATCAAAGAAATATGAGGACTACTAAACAGTATTATAAGAAATAGTTCTAAAATAATTGACTATCCGGAGTACTATTGACAAGGATAATGTAACTTATAATAGGAGTAATGTGGCTGATAACTTTAATTCATTCTTTGTGAATGTAGGGCCTAACCTTGCAGAAAAAATCTTTGACCCTGGGACAGTTGAAAAAAATATGGATAATTTAATAGAGAGGAATCCCAACTTAATGTTTCTCAAAGCCGTGGATGAGCAAGAAATACTGAACATAGTTAAAGACTGTAAAAGCAAAAAGCGAACTGATTATAATGACATTGATATGACAGTAGTGAAAAGGGTCATTGAGGGGATTTCAAAACCATTGACATACATCTGTAATTTATCATTTCAAAATGGTACATTTCCAAACAAAATGAAAATAGCCAAAGTCATTCCGCTGCACAAAACTGGGAACAAACATCACTCCACCAACTACAGACCTATCTCCTTCTTACCCCAATTTTTCAAAATATTAGAAAAACTCTTCAACAATAGACTTGATACATTCATAGTAAAGCATAAATTACTCTCCAACAGTCAATATGGTTTCAGATCAAATAGGTCAACATCACTTGCAATAATAAAAGCAATAGAGGAAATCACAAATACTATTGAGCAAAAGAAATATGCTGTTGGATTATTCACTGATATTAAGAAAGCTTTTGACACAATAAATCATGACATATTAATAAAAAAACTGGAAAGACTCTGCATCAGAAGTATTGTATCAGATTGAGCACAGTCAGGCGATTTTATCAACATCATACTGCTACATGAATTCAGAGCCAATCAAATTTATTCAGTGTTGTAAAAGAAAGGCTATGTATCCCACATCAGATAGTGACTCTCTGCACCGCTTCTATATGTTTATTTCTCCAACAATAAAATGTCATTTTTCCAATATAGCCTAATAAAAATTATGGAAATTAATTACTGCTTAAGTTAAAAATGGCTGCCTTTATTAGGTTGTTTCATGTTACGAAGAAGGAAAATATTACACTTCGTATTGTCCAAGTAATAAAACGTGGCAGAGTTTTAAAGGGCCATCAGCACACAAGCTGAGCCACATGATCCGGTTCACTGACGCGGACGTCCCGCGCGTGTCCGCTTTGAAGGCACACATCGGCGCGCGCACAGCATGTTTGAGCCTCATCCGCATCGGTACACCATCTCAAGGACAGACGGAGTTCTGCTCAGAGGAAAGTAACGGCGTGCCTATGTGGATCTAAAACTGCTGTGAAAACGTGTCGAGCATCCACAGAAAAAGGTACGTTTTCCACGGATGTCGTTAGCAATGATTAATCCGACAGTAGTGGCCAAGAGGACAGGAGGGCTGTCGCAGGATGGTCAGAAATAGGCGTGTGTCTGTGTTGTGTGTCCAAGGTAACATTGCTAACAGTGACTGGCTGATTCAGTGATGAGATAGACACAGACAACAGCCAGGGCTTTGACTCTGTCCTTCAGCTCCTTATAAATCATCCTCACTGTACAATTACAAAGCCTTTACTGGCCCCCACTCTTACTTAAGGGACTCCAGACTGTTTATATCTCCAGATTCGTGCTTATAAGAGGACCGCTATTTTGTTTGTTCTGTGTCTTTAGACGGATACATAGGTATTTCATGACATTTAACGTAAAAACATAAAAAAAAAAAAAAAATGGTGTGAATTGTTGAAGTTCTTTTTAAAATATTTATATTTGTGTCTTTGGTGAAAAATGCAAAAGATGGTGTCACTGTCATACATGTTAAATGTGGAATTTAACCTACATGTTTGATAGATTTCTAAATGTCTGGTGTTGTGGATGTAGACAGTTTTTGAAAATACCAGGAGTACCTGGCTGCAGACCTTAGTAAAAGCCCAGGGACTGAGGGAAGTTCAGCCTTTGTCTCAGCTGCTATCGGTAAATCAGGTCATCTCACCAGCAAAAGTTGTCATCCTTCTAACCAGTGGCGGATCTAGGGGGTGGCTACTAGGACTCAAGCCCCGCATGTTTTCTCAAGAGCCCCGGATCTTGGATCTGAGCTGGTCTGAGTTTAATGTGCAGTACTTGACTTCACCAGAGAGTGGCAGCATGCGCAGGAAAGCAGCCTGTAGCCTTCCTGTTCAGAAGAAGAAGTGTTTCCCTCTTGTGGCTGTTACTACTCCTCTACTCTACTGCCAGCGTCTAACGACGAGTCAAGTGCCTCCACAGCAAATTTTAACCCATTTAAACCGGGACAGCATGTACGTATTTCAACCTTCCAAGCCGGGAGAAGCGTAAACGCATTTCAACCTTCCAAGCCGGTGTTGTGTCGTAGAATGCACCTCTGCTGTAGAATGCACCCCTGACAGTAGTGCGGTTGAAAGTACATAACAGGGCAAAATAATCCAAGTTTTTCTCACCATTTTACGGAATCTAAAGCGTGTGCCTTTAATGATTTCATTCAGGCTATTCAGATATGCTGAAAACAATAGCCCTCTGATTCGGAATATTTGCTGTCCTGAAAATATAATGTTCTCTACCTTGACGGCTTACTGTACAGTTTATACACCCAAGTACACCTCTGTATGTGCATTTTTGAGACACATAAAAACAAAATGAAAGTTTGCCGCTCCATTTGACATGTTGTCATGATCGAATACCCGTGTTTTTTCTTTATTATGAGATCATTTTCTTCCACTTCAAGAAGCTAATGAGTGGAGGGGATGCATTCTATGGCATGGGTGCATTCTACGGCACAACACCGGCAGCGCTGCTGCGCATGTCTACTCTTTAAGCCGGGGGCGCGGATACGTCATTTTGTAACATTCTGTAGTTTTTCAATCATTTCTGGAGTCATGGCGAATCAAATCACACTGTCAGCAAAGGCTACACAATAAAAAATAGCTAAAAAACATAGGGCAGGAGAGTGAAAAGGAGAAAGTGAGTCAAATGGCTATTTGTAACAAACACAATATATCTGGATGTTTCATAGGTTTTATTTGTAAATAGTTATTTTTGAATTTTAGTTCATGAGTGAGTAAAGAGGAGAAGACAGGAGATGACATTCCTATAACATTCAAAAGCAGAAGAGGAGGCATGACAAGACAAGAAGACAGCTCTGAAATGTATTTTAAGAGTGAGGAAGACAAAGTAGAGGAAGGAGTGAAGAGAAAGTGAGGGGAAAAAAATAACAGAAATGGAAATCATACAAAAACTTTCAGAGAAAGCAAAAGAGAGAGACAGCAGATGTTAAAGGGTTGAGAATAAAAGATTGAAGAACAGAGCAGTAAAGGACAGCAGAGGTGCCAGCCAGGATTACAGGTATAGCTGTAAGGAAATAAGATGCATTTTATTGTACTTTATTTCACATCTTTAGTTTATGATCAGGCGGAATAACTTTTTTGTTTTATATTTCCTTCTTTTAGTGGATGTGAGGCATATGTTCATGACATAAGACATTGACTTCAACAAGGCTAGTCGTAGGACATTTGCATCATTAAAGGGTCTGAATTTTTAAGTGTTCTCCTTCGTGTCCTTTGCCAGCTTTAAATTGGTGGTAAGCTGAAGTAAAGTAAAATTGTAGTTTTGTGTGCATTGTAGCAAAAAAAGGTGGAAAAAGTAAATCGGCATCTGCACCCTCGGGGCTAAGCCCCTGATCGCCTAGAATCCTAGATCTGCCCCTGCTCCTAACTTTAACAGTAATAACTCAACAGACTTTGAGAGTTCCATCCTGTAACCTGCAGTTTGGACTTAATCTGGGTTTTTTAAATGGCTGTGGCCCACTTTGGCCATGTCATTTTACTGCAAGTCAGTATGATGTACCGTTACATTTTAGGAGGTGATAATGTAAATTTGGTGATATCATGTTATGTACAAAATTGTCAACTTATTTTTGTTCACCAGACTGAAGATTTTCCTGTAGTAAAAAGAAAAATAATCACTTGTCTATTAAGTCTGGTGTCAACCAGCAAATATGATGACACCACATCCATAGAGGTCAAAAAATTAAAAATGATCGGGCTGACTTTTAGAACAGCCTGTACCCCATTAATTCTCCTCATTTATTTTGTATCAGAACATGCTGCTGGGCAATGTATTTTTGGATTCTGGGTTATTGTTGTAGTGCTGCTTTTTATTTACCTGTCTCTTTAATTAAATTAAAAGCGGAACAAACAAATAATAAAAAGAGCTGTTTGAGAGCACCAGGAGGTAATGCTCCCAAAAGGATTAATGGTGTACTGCTGAAGAGGACAGGAGGAGGCAGGAAGATGAGGAGAATAGGGAAAGAAGCAGGATGAGGAGTGGGGAGAGCAGGCAGGGGAGCAGGAGGAGGAGAGAGGAGAGCAGGGAGAGGAACAGGTTGGGGAGAGAGGAATAGAATAGAATAGAAAAGAATATTCCTTTATTGATCCCCATGGGGGAAATTTTTTTGTCCCAGCAGCATCACAGACAAAGAGTGCAAAAATGCAGTTATAAAAATAAAGATCCTAATATTAAGAACTTAAATAAATGTAATAATCAAGAAAAAAAATTAGAAAAAGGAAAAAAAGGGAGAAGAAAAATAAAACTATCTACAATATACATAATTTAAATGCCAGAAAAAAGTGGTGTTGTAAATCCAGTTATTATTACAGTTTGTTTTAAAGTCTTATTGCAGAGGGGAGGAATGACCTGCGGTAGCGCTCCGTCCTGCAAGGTGGAAGTCTCAGTCTGCTGCTGAAGGAGCTGCTTAAGGCCCCCACAGTCTGGTGCAGTGGGTGAGAGGGATTGTCCATGATGGATACAAGCTTTGTTAACATCCTCTTCTCACCCACCTCCTCCAGGGAGTCCAAAGAACAGTCCAGGACAGAACTGGCCCTCCTGACCAGTCTGTTCAGTCTCTTCCTGTCCCTCTCGGTGCTCCCTGCCCCCCAGCAGACCACTGCATAGAAAAGTGCAGATGCTACCATGGAGTCATAGAAAGTCCTGAGCAGAGTCCTGCACACTCCAAAGGACCTCAGTCTCCTCAGCAGGTGGAGACGACTTTGGCCCTTCTTGTACAGGACGTCTGTGTTAGTTGACCAGTCCAGTTTATTGTTGAGGTGGACACCCAGGAATCTGTAGGACTCCACCATCTCGATGTCCAGACCCTGGATGTTCACTGGAACAGTCTGAGGTGTCCTCCTCCTGCGGAAATCCACAACCATCACCTTTGTCTTACTGGTGTTGAGCTGGAGGTGGTTTGTGCCACACCAGTTGAAATAGTCACTGATGACGGTCCTGTATTCCCGCTCATCCCCTGACGACACACATCCGACGATGGCTGTGTCATCAGAGAACTTCCGGAGGTGACAGCTCCCAGAGTTGTAGCCGAAGTCCGAGGTGTACAGGGTGAAGAGAAAGGGGGAGAGCACTGTCCCCTGTGGAGCCCCCGTGCTGCAGACCACCATGTCCGATACATAGTCCTGAAGCCTCACAAACTGTGGTCTGTCGGTGAGGAAGTCCACGGTCCATGCGGCTAGGTGACAGTCCACTCCCGGCCTCTCGAGCTTCCCCCTGAGCAGTCAAGGCTGGATGGTGTTGAAAGCACAGGAGAAGTAAAAAAACATGACCCTCACAGTGATGCCGGTATTCTCCAAGTGGGCCATGGACCTCTGCAGCAGGTAGATGACTGTGTCGTCCACCCCGATGTTCGGCTGGTACGCAAACTGCAGAGGATCCAGATGAGAGCTCACCAGGGGGCGGAGGTTCCTCAGCACGATCCTCTCCAGAGTCTTCATCAGGTGAGAAGTGAGGGCCACAGGTCTGAAGTGGTTTGGCTCCCTGGGGTGTGCTGTCTTGGGGACAGGAATCACGCAGGAAGTATTCCACAGTGTTGGGACCCTCTCCAGACTCAGGCTCAAGCTGAAGATGTGCAGTAGCACCTCACAGAGCTGGTCTGCACAGTCCTTCAAGAGTCTGGAGCTGATGCCGTCAGGACTCGTGGCTTTCCTTGGCTTCATCTTCTTCAGCTCACTTCTCAACTGGTCAGCTGTTATGGAGAGGCTGGGGGTGGTGCTGGAGGGGGTGGTGGAGGATGAGTGGAGGGGGGTTGATGATGCCGGTGCCATGGAACTGAGGTGGTGTGAAGAAGAAGCAGCAGACGGGTCGTTGGTTTGATGAGTAGAGGGAGGAGTGGGAGCAGAGTCAAATCTATTGAAGAACAGATTCAGCTGGTTGGCCCACTCCCTGTCTCCTGCTTCAGGTCCCCTCTCATGGCCCCTGCTATGACCTGAGATGGATTTCAGGCCTCTCCAGACCTCCCTTGCGTTGTTCTGTTGCAGGAGGTTTTCCATCTTGGTCTTGTAGCTGGCCTTTCCCTCTCTGATCTTCTTCTTCAGCTCCTTCTGCACCCTCCTCAGCTCCTCCTTGTCCCCAGATTTAAAGACCCTCCTCTTCTCCTTCAGGAGGACTTTAAGTTCCGGGGTCACCCAAGGTTTGCTGTTGGAGAAACACCGTACTTTCCTGGTGGGTACGGTGTTCTCAACACAGAAGTTTACATAGTCCATGATGCAATCTGTCATGGTGTCGATGTCATCACCATGTGGGCCGCACAGTACATCCCAGTCTGTGGTCTCAAAACAGTCCTGCAACGCCTCAGTGGCCTCCTCAGACCACCTCTTAACATACCTGATGGTGGGGGGTTGTTTCTTCACCATAGGTATGTAAATGGGCTGTAGTCTCACCAGGTTGTGATCTGAGCGGCCCAGCGGGGGGAGGGGGGAGGAGGTGTATGCATCCTTGGTGTTTGCATACAGTAGGTCCAAAGTTTTATTGTGTCTCGTTGGGCAATTTACATACTGGCTGAAGGTAGGGAGAGTGGAGGAGAGCGATGCATGATTAAAGTCTCCAGAGATGATGATCAGAGACTGAGGGTGTGTTGTAGCTTGGACACTTCACTATGGAGGAGTTCACAGGCTGCAGCAGCATCAGCCGAGGGGGGGGTGTAAACAGTTAACGCGATGACGTGCGAAAACTCCCTCGGCAGGTAATATGGCCGCAAACTCACAGCCAGCAGCTCAATGTCCTTAGAGCAGCGCTGCTCTTTAACACTGACGTGCCCAGCATTACACCATCTCTCATTCACATACACCGCTATCCCGCCTCCTTTCTTCTGTGAGAGTGGGTTCATTCAGCCATGACTCCGTGAACATCAAAAGGCTGCACTCGCGGTACTCCCACTGCAGCCAAGTCAGCGCTGTGAGCTCTTCCATCTTGTTGGGGAGAGACCTCACGTTTCCCATAATGATGGACGGGACAGTTGGTTTATAACGTCTCCGCTTTGCCTGATGCTGAACTCCAGCCCTGCATCCTCTCCTCCTCCTGCAGAGCTTGGCGGGGATGTCCAGTCTGTCCAACGAAGATGGCCGGGCTTGGCACAGCGCCAACAGCTGTTCACGGCTGTAAACAATGGGGCCGCTGAATGGGTTGCCGGACACAGACTTAAAAACTCCAAAAAGTAAAAGAAAACGAAGTGCTAGATTCATGAAAAGCACATCCATGGTTGGAATATGCAAGACACAACACTGCTAAATAAAAAGAAAGACAAATAAGGTGCAAAAAACAACAATAAGAAGGCAAAAACGTAAAGTCTGTGAGGAGCTGCTGTGACTTGCTGCCACTCTCAGGGCGCTCAGTCACGCAGGTGAGCAGGGAGAGTAGCAGGTTGGGGAGAGAGGAGAGCAGGGAGAGGAGCAGGAGGAGGAGAGAGAAGAGCAGAGAGAGGAGCAGGTTGGGGAGAGAGGAGAGCAGGGAGAGGAGCAAGAGGAGGAGAGAGAAGAGCAGAGAGAGGAGCAGGTGGAGGAGAGAGAAGAGCAGGGAAATGAGGAGGAAGAGAAAAAAGAGCAGGGAGAGGAGCAGGTGGAGGAGAGAGAAGACAGGGAGAGGAGCAGGAGGAGGCAGGTGTGCCTGGGGTTTTTATAGGCGGTTTTGTAAAAGCTCTTAAAGGGGACCTGCCACCAAAAATGTATTTTTTGCATTTTTGTGTGTCAGATTAAGTCCATATTAGGTCTGTCTTATGTTGTAAATGTGAAAATAAATCGTTATGCCATTTGCGTTCTGTAAAGATTTGAAATAAAGAAACGGGTAAAACAGGCCAATTGAAAAAGCAGGTCATTCTGACGTCAAGCTGACCTTGCTCATTATTATTCACGAGTGCGTCCTCGGTTAGCCACACCCACTCACTCGTTCCACTCACTCGTACCCAGTCACAATCATCATCACTCTCCAGTAGGTCTGGGCGATTATATGATCGTGATCGATGATTGCGATAAATTTCAGTCCAATCACGGTGATCAGCTGTGAGCATATTTACTTGATCAAACATGGCAGAATTGTGTGTCACAACAGCCAATCAGAGTCGGGCTTTTTTCTGCTCACTTCTGTAAGTTACCGGAGAAGTAAACAGAATGACCTAACATGAAGCTAAACGCAGCAAAATAGATGTCAGCCGTGTCTTTGAGTCCTCCTCCGAAGATGTTATTGTTAAGAAGTTATTCAACGTCTCTCCAAAGTGGCGTCAAGCAATTAAGCCGATAAACCGGCAACATAACAGATCTGTTTAATCATTTGAAGAAGTACTTCCCGAGTGATTATGCGGGAAGCATGAAAATGCGAGCAGAGTCTGCACAGCCTGTCACTGCTGACGGTACGAGTAGCATTAGCAGTTTAGCCACAACTAGCGGTACAGCCACAGACCAAAACAGCGATCAATCATATCCATACCTGCCAACACTCCCGTTTTTCCAGGGACTCTCCCATATTCCAGACCTATCTCCCGCCCACCCCCCGTATTGTGATTTCTCCCATGAATTTCTCGTAGCATGGTCCACGTTCATTCATGAATCGGATCACTATATTTTTCTAAAGTTTCCAGACAGCTGGAGATAGTCCTGTGTTTCTGCTGAGCCTCACAGACACTGGATCGATACTTTTGCTTTAGAGTTTGGGATGATTCAGGTGGGTTTCAGCTGTAAACTATGTTTAAGCAGTGTTTGTTGGAAAATGAACACTTCAGTGAAAGGAAAACAAACGCTAAATATGCAAGAGTGATGCGTTCAGGGCACCCTCAGATAAAAAAAGTGCTGTATTTCATGCACAGATGTTCAGAGAGCCTCATACAGGAGAGTATGTAAAACATATGAGGACTTAAACACTAATATTAGTGGACTAAATAAGTTAAAGGCATATGGTACCTATTTTTTTTTTTATTGCCATTTGTTACTGTTAAAACAAAACCAAAGTGTGCAGCTTCACTTATACTTATTTAAGTGAGCAATTTAATTACAAATACTCTCATGATTAGCTCATATCCACCATACGAGGTCACCCCAAAACTGCCCAGCGTGCGCTGCAAACAACTCCTGGATTTTATAACCCAAATGTTGGCAGGTATGCGTATCATCTACGTTTACATCACCTAATGTTTACATTTTAAAGCATCTTCATTATCCCTGAGGGGGCGATTTGTTTATTTTGGGTCCTGCATACCTGCAAAAACACTCAGGACTGTAAACTAATTCACTGTATTACTTAGTATTTATCTACTTTTGTTGTACTGTTGAGTTAAAATGCTTTTTATATTTTTCTCAGAGTATCTTATTCAATTTGCTTTGTTATTTACTTTGTATGTTAATAAAATGTTGAACTTATCTCTAGTTTTTTTTTTGTTTTTAGTACAGATGCTTTAAAACTGGCAGTTTAAAAAAACGTGATAATAATCGAGATCGGACAATATGACAGAATATATCGTGATCATTTTTTTTGCCAAATCGCCCAGGCCTACCCAGTCCTAGGCATCGATGTTGATTTCAGCCTGTTTTAGAACTGCTCCTGTTGAAATACTGAGCTCCCTGTAAACTCCAACACCTCAAACTTCTGAGTGGAAGTTTTAAATCTACATGGCAGCAGCCTTTAGCCATACTCTCTCCCTGTCTGTCTCTGTTTCACCTGCTCGTGTTGTTGCTATCTCCATTTTTAGGAGGTCAGTGATGACATCACTCATGCATCTCCTGAGTATTCCAAATTCCTAACCACATCACCATGGCAACAGGAAGAAAAGGTAAGATGGTCCAGGCCTGTGTTTAAGTGTGTTTTTTTGAGTGTTCCTGCTGACTTTCACTAGTCTGGCTTTCATACAGCTACTTCTTGCTGCAGCCACTAGGGGGTGGTGTTTCTCCTGATGATGTTGAGACACCTTATTAGGAACCCTGATTAAAGAGGACTCATAAATAGGTCCGAGAAAAAAGGAAGGAGCTAAAATGATGTGTTTGCTTCATAAAGTTATAAAGTTATCCTTACATCTGTTTGTGCTTTTATTTCCCTTCGTCATCAGGCTCCACCTCCAAAGGTGGGGTGCATTTTCCTGATGATGATGAGCCTCCTGGTTCTCCAACACGAAGAGATGACCAGTCGAACCTCTCCACTCTTATTGCCACTTTAGAGAAAGACGGCAGCTACTTGGTGAAGGTTTGTCTCTATGTGACAGCTTGTTGTTTGAAAGCCTGACAACTTTTTGATTGTTTCTCACAGGCTGAAGAACAAAACTCACACCAGGAAACAGAATCCGTATGTCTGTTTTATAAATACAGCACAGGGAACAGTCAGCGCTGAGACAAAGGCAAAGTGTGCTCTTCCTCTGTCACCAACTCCCCCAACTCAAGATCCATCCCTCTTCTGCTGGAAATATCCAGCTTCATCACTTATGTGTCTTCTGTCTCTTGTTAAAGCTCCCTCAGCTACAAGAGGCAGACCACAACTAAATAAAATGATCTGAATGAAAACAGAAAGGTCTTATCACCACAGGTTTTACAAATGCATTTTTTATTTTGACAGCTTGTCACGTTCAGGATAATAGGAATCTCAAGCTAATCTGAGCTCTCTGACTCAGTTAAATAACTTCAAATCCAGTACTATGAGTCTTTCTGGCCCATGATATTTAGCAGATGGAGGACTATAGCTGATCGGGTAGTCCTCAGCATAGCCAATATCAAATACTTACATTAGGCATAAACCCTATCTTTGGAATTAACTTTGACCAAATTAGTGTTTTGACCCTGAAGCTATGTATTTATCATCTTTGGAGCCAACAAGAAGAGTTCATAATCAAACTGTCTCCCTGTTGCAGATGTAGCATTTTGTCTGATGGGTTGCTGCAAGTCTGGTCTCTCTTATTTTTCTGCAATTTTTCCTCTATTTTTTCTTATTTTTGTGGTGTTTTGTTGTGTTTTGTTGGTCGCTGATGGATATTTCTGTTGGGAGCAGATTGTACTCAGAAAAGAGCTTTTTTCATCGAGACGAAGCAAATCTAGACAACAACATCCAATCCCAGATGACATTAGGAAGTGTTATCATGGTTGCCATGCTGGTGCAAAGGTGAAGGCAAGGTTAATTGCTAGGATGTAGAGATAAAAACCTATGATATAAGCTCTGTGGTTGGATTCAAGTTTGAATTGCTGGAGGATGTGGTCTATTCTCAAGAACATGGATCACCCACTTTACAACACCTTAATGGACCAAAGGGCCAATGGTGGTGGATGACTCCTCTCTCTTCGCTGCAGGAAAGAAAGATTCAGAAGATCTTTTGTACCCACAGCCATCAGACTTTACAACAAGACTGTAAATAATAGATGATACAAAACTTGAGAACTTAGAAACCCAGACAATCCAACTTCCCTTCAAGGATAAATCAAGTTATTTTTATCATATCTTTTCTTATCAATTTTTTTCACTGGTAAAAATTGAATTTTGGTATTTGTAGATTTAACACTATTTTTCTGTGTAAGTTTATCTTGATTGATGAGCCAGCAGCTTGTTTGGTTTGGGTTCAAGTTTTGCTTTGAGCCCACCTTATAGCATGCCCTGTAAAAACTAATGAATATTTTATATTCATTTTTGGTTAGTGGTATAAATTGCCTGTGTCAAAGAAACCAAAGCTGTAAAACAGGGCTATTAAAGCAGCATGTTAATTTGTTCAATCAATTCTCTTAAATAAATAAGAGGTAAATAAAGAATAAAGTAGAGTAATTACTGTCTCACTTCATAGAGTTGGCTTCACTGTTATAAACCACAAAGGTTTTCATTCAGGATAAAGTCAGTACAATAGCGCCTGTTGAAGCTTATTTTCATGGAGACTTTCTTGATGCTGTTGTCTCCTCACTCCAGTCCTGTGACTGTCTAAACCCATGATGTATAGCACCTTGTGCTGCTTTGTTTCCTTCATTTCTTTATTGAATTGCCCTTTGGGGATCAATGAAGTTCTTTTTGTCTTGTCTTATCTTGTCTTTAGTTGTTCGATGTCTCTGTCACTCATCCCTCACTTTTCAGTTTTCTACCTGTGGTATTTACTGATGCTATGAGAAACATGTTTTTGCTGCATGTCAACATCAAAAGGTGAAATCATAAACTTGATAAAGACTCCGTTCCACAGATTATTTGAAATGACGTGAGTGATGTGGCTTTGCTTTTATCATACTGGAGTAATCACTGCTGGTGTGGGATCTTGGCCAATCAGAAGAGAGTTTACAACACAGCTTTATTCTTTATTCTTTATTCATACGGATCCCCATTAGCTGCCACCAAAGTAGCAGCTACTCTTCCTGGGGTCCACAAATAAAACAAACAATACAGTACATAATTCAATAAAACATGTACAGTCTCGCAAAAGGTCATTCAAGACAATAAAAGTCCAGTAAAAAGCAAACAACAAACAAACAAACAAACAAAAAAAAAAAAAAAACAAGCAGCAAACAAATTAAACTAAAATTTAAAAGTCAGTTAAGATTACAATTAAGATAAGTGTAATTTGTCAGGTGTCTTTTAAGGAGTCTCTTAAAACTAGCCTTACTAGGTGCTTTAGTGATCATTGTTGGTAACGTGTTCCAAATGGTAATTGCTCGATACATTACAGATCTGCAGACTGCATTTGTTCTGTATTTTTCTTTAACCATGTCACCCCTAGTAGCCTGCCTGGTATTATAATTATGACGATCTCTCACATACTGTATTTGCGAGTTCAAACAAACAGATTCTTTGTTAAAACAAATATTCCTAAAGAAACTCACTAAATTACAAGCCAACCTCTCCTCAACTCTGAGCCATGAGAGACTAGCATGCAGTCTCTCAGTGCTCTGCCTTACACCCAATGGACAGTGCAATGCCAGCCTTGCAGCTTTGTTCTGAACTATTTGAAGTTTGGACAGATGTTTCTTGTCGGCACCTGACCATAATGCAGAGCAGTAATCAAGGTGAGATAGCACCAGTGCCTGTGTCACCAGCACTCTAGAAGCTGGAGTAAGAAATGAGGAACACCTTTTAATGCATCCTATACCCCTACCCATTTTTTTGACAATGTTTTCAATGTGTTTTTCCCATGTTAAATGTGCATCGAGTGTGACACCAAGAAAAAGTGCCTCTTGAACCTGCGCAATGTTTGAGTCTTTGAGTGATAACCTCAGGTGATAATCCTCTCGAGTGGCATGTCTTGCAGTAAGCACTAAGCTTTTAGTTTTTGCTACATTCAAAATAAGTCTATTTTCACATGTCCAGTCCGATTATAGTTGCAGTTCAGATTGAAGTGTATTTCTCAACTCGGATAAACTGTTTGATGCAAAATAGACAGTCGAATCATCTGCAAATAAAGTGCAACCACTTTTCTCTAAAACTAAAGGCACGTCATTTGTAAATAAAGTGTGAAGCAGATGACCAAGGCAGCTGACCTCAGTGATCTGACCTATAGGCATGCTGAAACTCGGAATTTAATTGATTAATTGAAAAATAATGAAGTACCTGCTCGAGAACAACTTTTTCCATTAGCTTACTTAGCACTGGTAGAATATTAATGGGTCTGCTATTGACAGCTGAAAAACTCTCACGTTTGTTTTTCGGAAGAGGTATAACCTTAGCAGATTTCCAGATCTGTGGAAATAACCCCTCCTGCGGACTCATTAAAAATATGACATATTGGCAAGGAGATTATATTGGAAACAACTTTAAGTAACCGTCCATCAACATTATCCATACCAGCTGGTTTATCATTGTTTAACCCATCAAGCATTTTTTTACATCATCATTTCTTATCAGTTGAAACTTAAAAACACACTGTTTGTTTCTCATAATAATGTTGGATATTATTTCATGTGACCTACCACTAACTCTAGGGGAGCCCATGTCTTTCCTCAACATATCAACTTTATTTGTAAAATGATCATTGAAGTGGTTTGCAATATCCTTTGCATTTGTTAAAAAACTCCCATTAACCTCAATGAAAGAAGGTGAGTTACTTTGGCCTCTGCCCATTATTTCATTCAGAGTTTTCCACAGTTTGTTGCCATCATTCTTCCTCTCCTGAATTAGATTTTGATAATATGCCTTTTTCTTCTTTCTGTTTAACTTTGTGACTTTGTTCCTCATTATACAATACATTCGCCATTTTTCAGTTCCTTTAAGATCTATAGCAGCTTTCTTCAACTCATCTCTTTCACGCATACACTGTCTGAGCTCATCATCAATCCATGATGCTTTACTAGAGCCCACTGTAAATTTTCTTAATGGTGCATGCCTATCTGCTACACCCAGAAATAATTCATTAAATAACTTGAGAGCTTCTTCAACTCCATTTAATGCCAGCACCCGATTCCACTCAACATTCTCAATATCCCTAATAAAATCATTGTCACAGAATCTTCTATATAATCTTTTACGCAATACTTTAGGCCCTGCTTTTGGAGTTTTCGTTTTCCTTACAATAGCCACAACATTATGATCACTAAACCCCACAGAGACAGATACTGCTTTGGAGCACAAATCTATGTTATTAGTAAACATATGGTCAATACAGGTTGCAGATGTATGTCCAGCATCATTGCAATACACTCTAGTTGGCTTGTTCACCATCTGAGTTAAATTGCAAATTAGTGCAATGCTATGCAACTTTTTCCTTAATGGGCATCAAGGGTTCAGGCTGGTGGTGGTGGTGTCATGGTGTGGGGAATATTTTCTTGGCACTCTTTGGGCCCCTTGGTACCAATTGAGCATCGTTGCAACGCCACAGCCTACCTGAGTATTGGTGCTGACCATGTCCATCCCTTTATGACCACAATGGACCCAACTTCTGATGGCTACTTTCAGCAGGATAATGCGCCATGTCATAAAGCTGGAATCATCTCAGACTGGTTTCTTGAACATGACAATGAGTTCACTGTACTCAAATGGCCTCCACAGTCACCAGATCTCAATCCAATAGAGCATCTTTGGGATGTGGTGGAACGGGAGATTCGCATCATGGATGTGCAGCTGACAAATCTGCGGCAACTGTGTGATGCCATCATGTCAATATGGACCAAGCTCTCTGAGGAATGCTTCCAGCACCTTGTTGAATCTATGCCACGAAGAATTGAGGCAGTTCTGAAGGCAAAAGGGGGTCCAACCCGTTACTAGCATGGTGTACCTAATAAAGTGGCCGGTGAGTGTATACATTGCTACACCTCCCCCAAAAATATTTCTGTCATTTCTAAAAATGTTAAAGCCTAATATACCTACTCCCATATCTGTAATCGAGTCATCTAAGTGTGTTTCTGAGACAGCAAGTATATTAATATTTTCCCCATTTATCAAGGTTGTTATTTCATCAACTTTATTTCTCAAACTATTAACATTAATGTGAGCTATTCTTAACCCCTTATTTGGTAGATTAAGCATCATGATTTTCGGTTCATGTCCATACAATAATAATGCTGATAGTAGTACAGATTACTGATCTCATTTGAACTTCTCGAGTTGCTCAATGGCACTGATGCAAAGCCCATGGGAATTTTCTGCTGCGCCATTAAGTTTAATAAACACCTTGTAACTGGCAGTCCAAGTGGACTGTATTTTGCCATTTTTTTTAAGGGCCCTGGCTTTTCTGGCTATGTCACTATTTTTTTTGGTGAGGTGTTCATTTATATATACATTTGTGCCCTTTAACTTTCTACCTTGTTTCAGCAGGTTTGTCTTCTGTTTCCTGTTTGCAAATCGTACAATTATAGATGGTATTACTGGGTTGTCCTTTAGCTTCCTAGCTGGCAGAGTGTGGCATGCCTCGATACTGTTGATGTCAATGTGGATGTCCTTACTATGGAGGAAGGTTGTTACCTGCTCCTCCGTTGTTTCCTCATGGTCAGGGCTGGCAGAGTCAAGGCATTTCACCGCCTGGAGGTAGCTTCATGGTTTAATCTTCAAACCTGTTATGATCACGTCGTTTAATCTTGAATATTGCTCCAAGCTATTTAGCCTATTTTCTAGGCTAACAATTTTCGTGTTCCAGATTACATATTTTGAGCTATTTCACCTCCCCCATCAGCTCTGTTATGATAGCGTATTGCTTCATTATGGTGTCCACATTAGAAGACATCATCTCAATTGATGTCTTCAGCTCATCCATGTCCTTTTGGAGCACTTTCATGGCCATCCTGGACCCTCCGATCTAGACCGAAGACGAGTCACACTGCAGATGAACTGGGGGCCGACTGGGCCTGCCCGACGGTTCTCGTCGCCGTCCGGAGACTTCCAACTGTGCCCGGGGGTTCTGCGGCTGTTCGGTTACCGCTGGGGGGGGGGCTCCGCCTCAGACACACACGCGCGGCTACCGTTAGCATTAGCAGGCCGTTCAGATGAAACAGAGTCCAGGGAGAAAATCCAGATACTTCATCATTTCGGCAGATTTACAGAGTGATCTGAACGCTGACTCCAAATAAGTTCTCAGTGTTCCACAGACGCCGAGCTCTCCTCCACGCTGTCCTCCTGATCTCTCGACGGGGTGTCTAACTCAGTGTTGCAGTGTGTTTGACCCTAAATTAATTTTACATCGGAGTATCCCTCTAACAACCTTTCTCTCCTTCTCTACAATCCGTCTGTGTCATTAACTTTAAACCATCATGTCCCATTGGAGTCACCAATTCTCAGTCTTTTCTGGGAGTCCCTGAGCTCCATCATGTCATAGGTTCCTCTGGATCACTGCTGTAGGGGTGTCCTGTTGCTTTAGAGCAAATATGAAGCATAAGGACAGCTGGGTGATTGGTCAGAAAGCCATGTCATAATCTTGATTAATTAGGGGAACTTTAAAATTTCCTTGGTAGCACTATCATAAAAATGCAAAGGAAAAAAAAAACTTACTTCTATCCCAAAACCCAGAAGAAGTTTGTCTTCAGACATATAGAAAGCAGAGTTGTCCTTGTTGATTCTATTTTAACTTGAGAACCTGCAACCAACCAAACGTGTTTAGAAACTCTAATTCTGACCTTTTCTTTGAGTTCAGAGGTGTTTGAAGGTGTTCCAACATTACATGGTTTGTAGAGCAAGTTCTGCACAGTACATAATCTCTCAATTTACCCTGGAAAAAGGTGAAAGTGGCCTTCCTCAGACTTATTGCTCCACAGTGTTTGAGGTCTGTGTCTCTCTAGCCTTCAGATCACGTGTACAGTAGTACTGAACTTAGTTAAGGTGGCATTTGTAGCAGGGAGGTATTGAAGATTACAGCAGAACATTAGCTTAAGCTCATGTAAGTATAAGCTATGGGACGGACCCTCTGACTCGGGTCTTGGGTCAAGTCTGCTGGTCACTGGCTACGTCAAATTGAGGACTTTTTTAATGAAACAAGCACTTCACAAGATTTGTTTACTAAAGAGTGCACTTTAAATGCATAACTGCACACTAATGACAGAGAAAAGCAGTTAAAAAGTGGCACCGTCATCTACCTAGCTATGTGTTCTGTTGTTATATGACAGCCTGCAGTACATTGGAGGTGTTACCACAGGAACAGAAACAGATGCATACATGTTCTCTGGTTGCTCACTTTATTAACATCATGTGTGCAACAAGTACCACACAAAGGTCTCTACCCACACATGGCCTGATACAACACTATGTACTCAACATGATGTGGCAGCAAATGGACACATGCTTCTTTAAGCGCCATCTCTTGGGTAATATCCCATAACAGGATAAATCCCTCTCATTGTTGGTCTCATTGGTGCAGAGGACACAGCTCACTTTTCAGGAAACAAAAAAAGTATCAGAAGTGCATCTTACGCACTTGATTTTAAAAAGTTTATTTGTTTCCCTACTCTGTTTGTTCTTGGTTTCTGCTCACCTCCGTCAATCTCTCTCACCAGGCTGGTTTCCTGAAGAGCCATCACTGCTATGAAATCATCTTCACTGTCCCTGATGTTCCCACAGTAGGAAAAGAGATGTCCTGTCTCCCTTCCTGCTCTCCATCCCGTAAACCTCCCAACCTTCGAATTCATCGGATAAACTCGACATTAGAAGGTAAGTTTGAACCATTCAAACAAACATTTGGACTTGAACATGGAGTTTACACCAGTGCATCAGGGCCTGATTTTAACACAGGTGGCAGATGATGGAGGTGAAGCCTCATCTGAATTGAACTGATTCAACATTTTATACATCTCATTGTAAGGTTTTTGAAGTCGTTTCCACTGTATGGCTCAGGCCTTGTTCCTGTACGTCTGGTTCTTGCAGGAAAACAGGAACTGCCCTTTGGGATGACAAAGAGTTGCAGATAAAAGTCAATACAAGACAAGTTCATGATCATGCCTAAAAGTACACATGTATGGATGGTTCAGATAGGGATATTTTCCTTAAGTCGATATCAGAAACCTCTCATTGTTTGGTTGACTGGTACTTTGTCTAAATTTCCAGACCATCTGTCATTTATTACCAAATCTACCTGTCTGTCTCCTTTTTGTTTCCGTTGTCATCAGACAAAAACCATGACTCTGTACATTAATGGAAGTTTTGGTTACAAAGCTCTCATGCCCAGAGAGAGAGAGAGAGAGAGAGAGAGACACATGAGCTGACCTCTGGGGGTTTTAGACCCTCCTTTCTTTCTGCTAACACAGGTGGATTAACAGTCAGATTACTAGTGAGCAGGATGGCTTAGGGACAGAACTGATCTCTGTTTTATTGGAGTCCTGTTTACATCCTGACATTAAGGGAGGAAATGTTGGTCCGTCTGTTCGTTGGTTCACCGGTTTTGTGTCTCAACAGCAATGCTCCACTGCAAGGTATATATATATATATATATATATATATATATATATATGTATGTATGTATGTATGTATGTATGTATGTATGTATGTATGTATGTATGTATGTATGTGTGTACATGTATATAATAATTTTCATTTTTATTCATTTTTCAAAAGGCATGGTACATGGCATATATTTCACAAGCTGTTGTTTCCAGATTACAGAAACATCTGGCACATTTGTATTATGTTGGGATATGAAGATAGACTCCGGTATTCGAGTCCCATAAAATAAAATAAATAGGTGCTCACATCCAGAAAAAAACAGTCTTGTGGAGAGAGAGTTTTGTCACATCAAAATATGACACTGGATCACACAGTCATGTGGGAGACTGCTGTCTGTTCAGACCTGTTGTCAACTGCCATGAAGGTCCAGAAGCTGTCCCAGAGAGTCGCCACTACTTCCTCACGGTTACCTTTTACTCTAATGAGTTTCAGATTTAGGGCCCTTGCTTCCTTCCAGTGTCTTAGGATAACTCGACAGACTGTAATCAGACTCACAATATAATAGAGAATGCACATTCAGATATGTTAGGCATTTGCGACCGGTCCCCTAGCAAACTCAACAATGGGCTCAAAGGGACCTCAGAACCGGACCATCTGCTCAGGATTTTTAACACCTTTTTCCAAAGTGGTTTAACCATTCCACATTCCCACATACAGTGTAGGAAGGTTCCTATTTCCAATCTTACATTTCCAACACAGGTCATTGTTTAACAACTTCATACTATGAAGTCTGGATGGTGTAAAGTAATATCTGTGCAATACTTTATATTGAGTGAACTTACCCCTCGCTTCCTTGATATATTTACCACAATCTGCAACAATTTTGGACCATTTATCATCCTCAATGGCCTCTCCAAGGTCCCGTTGCCATATCATTTTCACATTCACAAAGTCAGTACTCTGGGCAGAGTTTAACATTTTATGAAATTGCAAAGCTTTATGGGTCTCCTGTGGTAGTTGCTTATAGTTTGAAATTATATTATCAATCTCATTATGTTACTTAGACATCAAACAGCTTCTTATCTGCAAGTATTTCCAGAAATTTCTTTGCCAAACCAAACCGAATTGTTCCTTTATATGATTATATGACCTGAACCCACCGTTTTCATACAAATCACCAATGGTGCTTATACCACGGGAATGCCACTGCCTCCAGTACACAGCATTCTTCCCAATACGGATTGCGCCATTATGCCATAATGAACAGTATCCTTGTAACTCATGTGCAAGTTTTAACATTTTATGCAGTCTGATCCAGACATCTCTTAAATGTAAAAGAACTGGGTTTTAGATATTGCATGAGGATTGAGACAAAACTTCAACAGGATTAAAAGGTCTACACAGCTCGCATTCAACATCCATCCAACCTACTTTAACCTCAGCCCCCCCCCCCCCAATATTTGGCAATCATAGCCATTTCAAAAGATAAATGATACAGTCTAGGGTCCAGAAGGCCCAGCCCACCTTTCTCCTTATGGGCACATAATTTTCTCAGTTTAACTCTTGCCCTCTTCCCATTCCACAGAAAACTTTTTATGATATCATCAAACTGCTTAAAAATAGTGCATGGAATCTTGATTGGAAGCATTGTGGTGATGTAATTAACTTGAGGACCCACTACAATTTTTATGGTGCTAATTTTCCCCAACAATGTGAGGTTGATCTTCTCCCATTTGTCTAGGTTTGTTTTAATCTTTGTCGTAGTGGATTAAAATTCAGCATCACCATTTCCTTTGGATCCTGAGAAAGTTTGACACCAAGATATTTCATTCCCTTGTGAACCCATTTGAAATTGAACTTCTCTACCATAAATGAAAGGCAAGATTTGGAAAGGGGCATAGCTTCAGATTTATTCCAATTTATAGAGTAACCTGATAGTTTTAAAAATGATTGGATTGTGTCCATAGACTGTATATAGAATGGACAGCGTCTGCCTCCTTGCTGGGTGAAGCCACTCCAAGACCAGCACCCTCTGTTGATGGGCTGCAGTATAGGTCATAAATCCCACCTTCGCCAGCAAATCTTATGGGGCTCTGGACAATTTTTCTCCCCCCTGGTTGCGGTGTTGACATGTAGTTACAGTAAGACTGGTTTGTGCTCAAGTCTTCTTTTTTCTGTGAAGCTCCGTTTTTAAAAGTTATTAGGGGGTTCATGTTTTCTATTATTGACACCTGATGCAGCCTATTGGCATTCAGGGATTGCGTGGCTCACCCAGGGGATACACTGTTTGAGCCGAGTGTCATCACAGCAACTCTCGGCGACTCTCCTGCCGAATGCACACATCGCGACTGCGCAGCGCTGGTTTTAGGAAATAAGAAAAATCCCGGAAATACCGAGAGCTTCATAACTTCCATCTGTTTTGCTACACTCCCGCCATCATGCAGTAACTTCTCCGAGGCGTCTTCCAGGTGTGCCATGCAGGTAAATTTTGACTTTGAGAGATCAGATAGGGAAACTCTCTGAAAAACACTTCTTCTCTTCTCTGTGGGATAGAAAAGCCTCTGGATGTCACAGAAACAGAGTTTATTACTGTAAAGTTGGTAATACATTGCACTGTTCTAGTATTTTTAGACCTGATATTGTAAGTATAACGATATTTGGTTGTATTCAACAGGGTTTTGTACCCCTTCTGTCCCCTGTCCGCTGTGATTATTTCCATGGTTGTCATTTGTGCTAACTGCCTCTCATGATGCATCAGGTCATAGCTTTATGAGAAACGTGGTACTACTTTAAGGGCCTGATCTACTAAAGGTTTGTGTGTGCAAAAACACGTGCAAACTTGATAGCGCATGCAAACCTGATCTACTAACCGTGTGCACGGAGGATTGCGTCTGTCAAATGAGCAAAACAGCGCGCACAGTCGATTTAGCATGTTTGCCTTCATGAATGCAGAATGTATGTAGATCATCAGAATGCACAAAATACTGGGAGGAGCAGATGCAAATGAAATCATTTAGCACCTGCAATGTGATTTATCAAACCCGGAAACAGATTGCGGTCGCTGTTTTGCATTTATATTTAGCAGGTTTGAAAGGCACGTGCAAACTGGAGCAGCATTACAACACCATGATCCTTGTCCAGAAGCTTGTGATTTATTTCGTTTTTCTGGTAAATGACGATTTTTATAAATAATTGGGTCAAACACGGAACAGACGAAAAAATTCTGTCTAATTGATTTTAAATCGTTTTAATCTCTTTTTTGATTTCTAAAAAAAAAAAGTTGATGACTCCCACTATTTTGAACCGGCTCTTACCTGGAACCAGTTTTCATTTCCCACCCCTGAACAAAGGCCTAATTGCAATCATAAACATGGTTCATGGGCTAAGTGACTGCAGCATAGCTTTGTCAGTGTGAGCATGTCATTAGGGATAGCTTAAATGCTAGAGAGCTTAAATGTCTGCAGCCCCTCACACATGAATTCTTTACAATTTTAGGAGAAGTTTCTGGATATTTACCAAATGCAATTATTATGCTGTTACCTCACAGCAAGACTTATGTCTATGTTGGTCACTGTCTTTGGAAATTATCCACAGGCCTCATGTATAAAACAGTGCTTAGAATCCAGTGCTTATGTGCCAAAAATCCAGAAATGGCGTGTGCAGAAATAATCCAGATGTCTATAGTGCTGTTCTTACTCATTGTTCCTTTTATAAACCATTATCTGCCTATGAATAAAGGCATGTGGATCAGCCTTCTCCTCCATGCTAGCTCTGCCAAGGCCACTTTTAAGCCTAAAGGAGTATTTCGTTTGATCACAAGGGCAGCTCTGGATCAGTCCACTGCAATATGGTAAATGTGTGGCAGATATTCTTGGAAATATCGGGATCTGAATGTCTGTGAACCATTGGGGGTTTATTAAAAGAGGCTTTGAGAAATCCCCCTGAGGCAAAGAGGTTATCTAAACAGGAGCTTTTATGAAGGCCAGATTGGACTCCAGCTTACGCCCAGACTGTAAGTCCAGCCCTGCAAAGAGTCTAATTGAAGCTGCGGCTCAGAGATGCACTCTGCGGCTCAGAGAACTGACACTATGATGAAGAGCTGAGTAAGCAACATCCTGCACGACTCCAAATGTTTAATATACATCTGAGGCTGAGAAAGAACACAGAAATGCACCTACCCTCTGTCAACACTTTGTTGGATGACCCTACACTTTGGATGACCCCCCCCTTTCTCTTCTCATCTATGAAATATTGCTTCCCAAAATTATCCACCTCCTCACAAATAAATGAAGAGAAGATGAAATTAGGTTGAAAAAAAATTGAAATGAAATTTCATAAAACCCCTCCCTACTTCTCTTCAGGAGTTAAAGTCCTGTGTGAGTACAGGACTCACCAGGAGGGGGTGCTGCAGGAGGACGTCACCCTGGTTACCAAAGGGAAGAAAGTCAGCAGTCTGAAGGTCAGACTTCAAGCCAGAGTCATTGGTATGTAATGCACATACACATACACATGCATGCGCGCGCGCGCACACACACACACACACACACACACACACACACACACCATAGTAATTAGAATGGGCATTATCAAGACCTCCTTTTGGTCATAATTTGATTTGATATCGATTCAATATTGATTAATATGCTATGACATTGATTCAATAACATGCACGGATGACAGAAATACTCACGAGTCACTACAAAACTGTCAAGTATTTGTTGAATATAAAACTAAACTAAAATAACACTTTCGGAAAGTGGTGCAATGATTGTGTGGGTTAAGAAAAACAGTGACTCCGAAAAGACATTTTAGGATTATTTGTCATGGTTTTCTCTGATTTATAGAGAATGAGACATCCACACATTAATCAGGAATAGGTCAGCACACAGGACAGGAGGACATTTGCCTGTTGTTTTAGATGGCCCCAATGCCTCACACAGGATGCAAACAAGTAGCATGCTGTATAAATCTCTGAATCTGAACAACAGCTTTATGCAAACAGTTGACCTGGAAGCTTTTTTAATAACCTATAAGGCCTGTAACAATATACAATTCAAGAACCTTACTATGCCCAAAGGGAAATTCATTTGTCTGGAATCTGATTAGAAATGATTCTCTGGAAGGACAGCTAACAAACTGTGTAAATCCAGTCAGGTGAGAGGAGGGTGACATGGATGAAGTCTAAGAGACCAGTGCTGCTAAAACTTAGAGCAGGGTAGAGGCATATATGTAAAATGTTCTCTTGAAGCAACAATGAAAAGAGTCGCACTGGCACTTCAGTGAGTCATGACCTGTTTGGCTGTTGCGGATGGTTCAATCCCAAAACTGTCTGAATGGATACCAAATTGAGAGAAAAGAAATTGCAATGCATTGATGAATGGATAGTTTTACACCACCTAACAGTAACAGTAAGGACAAACTGAGGTTGTATGATCCCTAGATGTTGACTGAGCCCAGTAAGTGGCTATCGCACTTCAGAGGAATAGGATATTTGAAGAGGAATATTTGAAGTCTGCTCTGCATACCCTAGTTGCTGATTGCCTTTGTCCAGTCCTTAACTCTGATCACCTTGAAACTAAATTGTCTTTGTTCCAGCTAACAGGCTGTGGTAAATATACTGTTGACTTTTAGCTTTGAAACATCACAATTACTCTTTGGCCATGGCCAATTATCAGGGCCGATATTAAGTTGTTTGCCTTGGTATTTCATTGGTTAATTAAAAAGAGTGCTACTTTGGGTCCACTCTGTGTGTGTTCCCCTCTGGGTCTGTTTTCCTGCACCACTTTGTCTCACTAGTGTCCTGTCCACGACATGACCTGGCAGTGTTAACATAACTGGGCTCTAAGTGTAGCTAATAAACTATTTATGTCTGTGTATGTTGAATGATGTTGAATGTGTCAGTCTCTTTATTTCACTTTTGCTAAAGGCATTGAACCTAAGGGTATTTGTTTTGGGTTGTGCAAAATTTCAGATTTAAATTTCCTCATTCTATTGTCAGTGCATATTGGTTCAAAAATCTTTTATTGGTCTCACTAACTACCAATAAACAATATGGGCTCTGAAAAAAAGAAAATGACCCCTATTCTATACTGCCAAGCTGATGAGGACTGATATGTTCCAGACCACTTCTGTACATGAACTTAGTGATCAGATCTGAATCAATCCCTAGGATTCAGGTGCACGCAGACCTGAAGTTAAAACTATTCTCTTGTTCCCCCAGTAGATCAGGTTCAGACAGAGTCATACACTGCTAACAGATCATAAGAAATGTCAATGATAGCTCAAACAGCCAGTGGCCTACCAGAGTGCTTTACAGTAAAATATGCAGAAACAATAAAAACATAATACATATAAATACATAAACGTAACAAATAAAAGACCCAACAAAAGTAACTATACTACATCAAAGGCTAAAGTGAACAGGTGCGTCTTTAGAGATTTTCTAAAAGTGGAGAGGGTATTTGTGATGCGCACTGTCAGGGGTAAAGCATTTCACAAAGTGGGAGCCACAACAGAAAATGCTCGATCTCCTCTAGATTTTAAATGGATCGAGGAACATCTAAACGGGGCTAGCCCATTCAGAGACTTAAAAACAAATGAAAGAATCTCAAAATCGATCCTGTATCTAACATGGAGCCAGTGAAGCGAGGAAAGCACCAGAGATATATGCTCCCATTTCTAAGTCCCAGTTAGGAGATGAGCTGCAGCATTTTGAATGAGCTGCAAGCAGTTGAGCTCTGATTTGCCAATGCTGACATACAGAGAATTACAATAATCTAAACGAGATGTAATAAAAGCATGGATAACTTTTTCAAGGTCCTTCTGGCTTCAATACGATTTAACTTTGGCTAGAAGCCTGATTTGACCACTGCACTGACCTGTTTGTTAAGTTTAAAATCACCATCAATAATAAAACCGAGATTCCTGGCATGGAATACAAGGTGCCAGTGAGCCAAGGTGAGCTGGAAAGGACCTGAATCAGGTCGGGGCAACGAAACAGGACAACCTCTGTTTTGTTTTCGCTTAATTTTAAGAAGTTGAGATCCAGACATCACTCATGCAGTTAAGCACAACCTGCAGAAAGTCTTTGGTAGGGACCTTAACAGGCAAATACACCTGTAAATCATCAGCAAAACAGTGAAAAGGAACACCATGCTTTCTAAAAATTGACCCCAAGGTTAGCATAATTGTAGGAGAGCCTGAACTGACCCCTGGGGGACCCCACACATCAGAGGGGCCACTGTGGAAGAAAACTGGCCCATGTGCACAGAAAAAGATCTCTCAGAGAGGTACGATTTGAACCAGCTCAAGGCAGTGCCTTTGATGCCTACTCAATGTTCAAGGCATGATAGGAGGATTGAGTGATCCACCGTGCCAAATGCCGCTGTCAGGTCAAGGAGGATTAAAAAGGCACAGTTACCAGAATCAAGGTTTATCAAAAGATCATTAAAAACTTTTAAAAGAGCAGTTTTAGTGCTGTGAAGAGACTTAAAACCCGACTGAAACAATTCACAAACATTTGCCCCTTGGTTGGTTAAAAACTATTTTCTCTAAAGCCTTAGAAATAAAAGGAAGTTTGAAAATTGGCCTAAAATTGGTCAAAACCGAGGGATCAATTTTTTTGTTTTTCAAGAGAGGCTGCACCATGGCATGTTTAAAGGAGGATGGTCCACATTCAGAGCTGAGACACTGATTAATGAGAGGCAAAATAAAAGAGTGAAATGAGTTGAAAACCCCTTTGAACAAACAGGAAGGAATGCTGTCAGATGGCCAGTTGGCAGGACATAAGTGTACCACTATATCAGTAAGTGTAGAGAGGGAAACAGGATCAAACTGCTGAAAGACAGCTGAGCTAGCTGAAGGAACAGTGGGGTCCTGAACAGACTGGGGGGTGAAGACCTAAGAGCAGAAATCTTATAGACAAAGAACTGCAGAAAGTCCTCACACAGAGAAGAGGAAGGGCTCTATTTTCGTGCCTCGCCGACAAGGCGTTCCCAAGCACAATTTGGTATTTTGGTGAGAGGCGCAGCCCGGCGTAAGTATCCCCCCTCCCTAACTCAGCTCCTCCCAGTGGCGTAAGTCGTAGCGAGGGAGGAGAAAGGGCGTGGAGTGGGTTTAACAAAGCCGAGACCTGTTTTCACCAATCACATAAGCTCCTCTCCTTGCCTTTAAATCCGCCACCGGCAAGGCGTATTACAATATTCATGAAGTAGTCTGAGAGATCAAGAGATGTCTGAAGACAGTTATGCCACACAATGGCGACAGAAGGCAGCTCCTCAACAAGTGTTGCTGTAAGCGCTGCATTGGGCGTCCTCCACACTCTCTCATATGAGCACAGATGGATTTGGTGTGTGTAATGTTGGACCCACTAGTAAGACAAACATCCCTTTCCACAAATAAAGACACTCACATAAAGTTGCACATATTCAAACCTCACGTGACAAAGGTGGGTTGTGCGCAGAGATCACATCATAAATTCCAAAAATGGCATTAAAGTCGGAACCATCTGTGCGTAAATGACGCATCGCGCTCCGTGGCCTGGCTCTTTCTTTCATAGATGTTGGCATATAAAATAAATTTGCCTCACAAAACTGAATATTATAATATTCATATGTAGGCTTAAAGTAAATGACTCATCTGATCACTGAAACAAATCATCTGTTCAGCAGCTGCAGCAAGACGGAGAGAGGACAGGGAGACATGTCCAGGTTGAGCTGCGCGAGAAATAAAAGGAAGAGGAAGAAAGAAAGGGAGGGAGACAAATTAAATATCTTGTTAACTTTATCATGTGTGTCTATTTACTAGATATTTTATTTAATTTAATACGGTTTCAGCTGTGTAGATTCAGTCAGGTTGTGTGTCCAAACGTGTGACAAACGCGCTCATCAGATCAGATACAGATCAGAATATACCTTCATAGATGGAAATGTATGTGCTAACTCAGATTATTAGTTGTTGATGATTATTTATTGCACTGAAATGTGCCTGAAACTGTGGAAACCTGCAGGTGACGTATGCCGATACGCCGCCGGTCTACCAAAATACCTCTAGACTAGCTGCGCTCCGCCTGCACTGAAAGCTGACCAGGTTTGAATCGGCGAGCTTTCAGCGCACTTAACATGCCACTGGCGAGCACGAAAATGTCACTGCGCCTGCTGATTCTGTCGACACCTCCCCCTGCCACGCCACCATGCCCAGCTTGGCGGATCTCGGTTCGCCTCCGTGCGCCTCAGTCCACGAAAATACCAAACTGGCTGTACGCCGGGCTCCTCCAGACAAAAATACAACTGTGCGGGCTCTGCCACCCTCCATCGCCTCACCAACGTAAACAAAAATAGAGCTCGAAGGCTCAATACAGACAGCAACACAAGGATTCACTAAAGACTCAAATACTTTGAAAAGCACCTGCGGTTTGTGAGCATGAGCAGAGACAAGTGAGGAAAAACACTCTGTTTTTGCATTTTTCACTGCCTGCTGATAGGTTAGGAGACAGTCATGTAAGAGATCCCAGGAAATTTGGAGTTTGTCCCTTTTCCACTCCCTTTCCGCCTGTCTGCATGTGCGTCTGAGCGCACAAGTGGACTCATTCACTTCACTTTTAACTCCTGTCTGTCCCAAAAAGCCTTTTGTTTCTACTCTGTTAGGTTTGCTGATATCCCACAGTCTCCAGAATTTAATGTATTAAAGCCTCTTCATTAAAATTCAGTCTGCTGACTGCAAAGCTTTTTCTTCTGGCACCTGTTGAAGCATTTTTTGTATTCAGCTCTATTTTTGTCTCATGAGCCATATTTAAACTTCTTATATCAGATCTTTTATGATTTTGAAATGTATATATGTTTTTGTGTCAGTGCTGTAAATAACAGGAAACTCATTAACACACAGTACTCTGCCTCTCTCCTTGTTGCCCTCCTCCTTTTCCATCTCCGTCCAGACCCACATCACGGGACACCCATGCTGCTGGAGGGGGTGAGGTGCTTGGGGTCCCAGAGAGACGTCCTCACAAGGCATGGCAGCGACCGTAAGAGGATATGAAGAAAATGTAATCACATATTGTGTACATGCATTTACTGTCAGTCTGCAACAGTGTTGACTGGGTCAAAGCAAGAAAAGCCAAATGTGTTTCCAGACACAGAAATTGCAGTATTCCTAAATATTTGATGGAAGGTGACTAGTTTATTAATTACTGCTATCACAATCCTTTATTTTCTGCAACAATAGAAAACTTCCTTTTGCTCTGAAAGAAAGCTTAATACCACCAGCTGTCCAGTAAACACAGCCATGAAGCCCCGGTTTGTGGGGGTTCAGTACACCAGCTATAGCTAACTCTCATTAAAGAATACACAAACACAAACCGAGCCAAGTAGAAACTTAGATCTGCACATCACTCATCACGCACTTTCACGGACTTTACATTCATAGTATGTAACTTTATAGCAGCACAACCAAGGAAAACTTTGTCTCACACTGTCTCATATAACCACTCACTACAGTACAAGGCTTTTTGTCCACATCCAAAATAACGCTTCTAGAGTTGCAAATTTTGCAGTAATTCATATTATTTGTCCTTTGCACAAAATATCAATGATGAATGTCACATTTAAAACCAGTTATTACTGTAATGTTCACTCACTGTAGAAATCAGCAGACTGGATTTAGGTGCACTGGTAGGTTGTCTTTTACCGGATCTGCATGCGCTCAGAAAACTATAAAAGGCATGGCGCAAGAATATCTCAATACAAGCAGTAATGATCAGGTACTGGTCAAGGCAGACAGCCATAACTCACTGTAAAATGATACAATGTCCTATTCAACCACTGACAACTATCGAGGGTTATACAGGTGCATCTCATAAAAACATGGTATATTGTAAGAAAGGGGCTCATATGATTCAGTTAGTGAGGGTGAACTCTCACACATCTTTAATACTTGATCAGCGCATCAATGTGGTGGAGCATGGAGATGATGAGCCTGTTTCTCCGCAGAGGCTGCTTCGATCACATCCTTAGGCTGGTCTGTATTTTTAAGTTCAGTTGTTTTTCATTTTTGTGTCAACAAATATCCTACTGATCCTCTATGGGGTTCAGGTCAGACCAGTTGGCTGGACTATCAAGCACAGTGACATCACCGTCAGCAAACCAGTTTATGGTGGTTTTGGTGCTGTGGGCATGCCCCAGGTCCTGCTGGAAATCAGGTGGTCTCAAAAACCTCCTGGTAGACTTTAGGCTGTGTTAACTCTGGACTTCATAAAACACAGTACACCAGCAGCAACACCCCAACATGGCACCCCAAACCATCACAGACTGGGGAAACTTCCCACTGGACTTCAAGCACTTTGGATTCTGAGCCTCTCTGATCTTCCTCTAGACTCTGGGACCTTAATATCCAAATGAGACACTAAACTGACTTTAGCCTGAATCAGGACTTTGGACCACACAGCAACAGTCCAGTTCTTTTTCTTCTTAGTCCAGATGAGACTCTGATTACGTTGTCTCTGGTTCAGTAGGGTCTTAGCAGCAGGAACACTTGTAGTCCATATCCTGGACTCATCTGTGTGTAGTGGCTCTTGATGCTCTGACTCCAGACTCAGTCCAGTCCTGTGGAGCTCCTCTAAGTTCCTGACTCTGCTCTCTTTGTCAGTCCTGTTCAGGCTGTTCTCATCCCTGTCTCTTGAGATCTTTTTCCTCCCTAACTTTCCTCTTCAGTCAACTTTCATGAATCTGCTTCATACAGACTCTGGAAACAGCCAGACTTTTCAACAGAACCATCTGAGGCTGACCCTCCTTGTGGAGGGGTCAGGGATGGTCTTCTGGATGACTGTCAGGTCAGCAGTCTGAACCCTGAGTGATAGAATCATGGAATATATATTGTTTGAATTATAATTTACTCAAACTTGAAATTGAATATTCCAATATTTTGAGATATGTAAGACTACTTCTTTTGACATGTAGGTTATTAAAATTAAAAAACACTTGAAACATCCTTATACAGAAGAATTTCAGAATCAAGTTTTATTGTCTTGAACAACTTCTGGGGGAAAAAAAAAACTTTTTCTCATTATTCTAGTTTTTTGAGATGCACCTGTAGATCCTTTTTCACAAACGTTTTGGGCACCAACTTTGATGATGATGGTGGTGTAGTTTTGGGCCAGGTTGTTAGGAGACTTTAATATGGTTAAGAGTGATCTGGATGTGATCATGTATTAATGTTACCCAAATGTAACGTACACTGAACAAAAGTGGTATCATCTGAAATTCAGGGTTTATTAATTGACAGGGTTGATGTTGTGATGACATTTCATTTTTATGTTTATATATTCAGTTCTTAAGATAGTGCAACACACCAATTTACTGTAAAATTCACTCGCTCTGTGCGACCTAAAGGGATATAGGTATGAAGGTATGTAGGTATCCCACAGAGAGGCTCAGTGACTGTTCAGAGATGGTGTGGATCCAGTCCCACTTAAAATGAAGGTTCTCTTGAATGATATATGTAAACATGTTGGTGAAATAGTGTCTTTCCAGTTGTTAGTCCTTAGACCTTAGGCTGTGTAATAATTGGAAGTAGTGTCTGTGACGTCACCTATTTACAGAGTTCTGAAGCTTTTTGGCAGTGGTTGCCATATTGGAAAAGCTGACTGACTCAACCTAACTCTCAGTCGACCAGAGGCATGCCTGCAAACAGTTGCAATGTGCCCACCTGTCAGTCAAGTCGGCTGGACCTCTGATTTATTGGTCTTGACCTCACCTTAAGAACTTTGAAACAAACGTGTTCCAACTTTCCTGTACAGTGGGCGCAGTGGACGCTGAGCTATTAATTCTGTGTTTGGGTCAATATAATATTTTGTTCAGGGGTGTAGCACCAAATTCTGAGCCCTGTACACTCTTAGGGCTCTATTTTGGTGCCTCGCCGGAGACGTGCCGCAAGCGCAGCGTCAGTCAGATCCGCCGCGCTGACAAGGCGTTCCCAAGCACATTTTGGTATTTTGGTGAGCCGCGCAGCCCGGCGTAAGTATCCCCCCTCCCTAACTCAGCTCCTCCCAGCACCATAAGTCGTAGACGGGGAGGAGAAAGGGCGTGTAGTTGGTTTAACACAGCCGAGACCTGTTTTCACCAATCAAATAGGCTCCTCTCCTTGCCTTTAAATCCGCCACAGGCGAGGCGTATTACTATTTTCATGGAGTAGTCAAAGAGATCAAGAGATGTCTTAAGACAGTAATGCCACAAGATGGCGACAGAGGGCAGCTCCTCAACAAGTGTCCTCCACACTCTCTCATATGAGCACAGATGGATTTAGTGTGCGTAATGTTGGACCCACTGGTAAGACAAACACCCGTTTCCACAAATAAAGACACTCACATAAAGTTGCTCATATTCAAACCTCACGTGACAAAGGTGGGTTGAGCGCACAGATCACAACATAAACTCCAAAAATGGCATTAAAATCGGAACCATCTGTGCGTAAATGACGCATCGCGCTCCGTGGCCTGGCTCTTTCTTTCATAGATGTTGGCATATAAAATAAATTTGGCTCACAAAACTGAATATTATAATATCCGTATGTCGGCTTAAAGTAGATAACGCATCTGAGCACTGAAACAAATCATCTGTTCAGCTGCAGCAGCAGCAAGACGGACAGAGGACACGGAGACGTGTCCAGGTCGAGCTGTGCGAGAAATAAGAGGAAGAGGAAGAAAGAAAAGGAGGGAGACGAATTACATATCTTGTTAACTTCATCATGTGTGTATATTTACTAGATATTTAATTTAATTTGATGCGGTTTCAGCTGTGTTGATTCGGTCAGGTTGTGTGTCCAAACGCGTGCCAAACGCGCTCATCAGATCAGATATAGATCAGAATATATCGATATAGATCTAAATGTATGTGCTGACTCAGATTAATAGTTGATGATGATTATTTATTGCACTGAAATCTGCCTGACACTGTGGAAACCTGCCGGTGAAGCATCAGTGACGTATGTGGATACGCCGCCGGTCTACCAAAATACTACAAGACCAGCTGCGTTCCCCCTTGCGCTGAAAGCTGACCAGGTTTGAATCGGCGAGCTTTCAGCGCACTTTACACGCCGTTGGCGAGCACGAAAATGTCACTGCGCCAGCTGATTCTGTCGACACCTCCCCCTGCCACGCCACCACGCCCAGCTTGGCGGATCTCGGCTCGCCTCCGTGCGGCTCATGCCACGAAAATACCAAACTGGCCTTACGCTGGGCTCCGCCAGACGAAAATACAACTGTGCGGGGCTCGCCGCCCTCCGCCGCCTCACCGGCGCGAACGAAAATAGAGCCCTTAATGTCAATGGGCCCCTATCCATGCCAGTGCAGCTGAGGCAAATGAGCAAAAAATTGGGATTTTCATGGGCCCCTCTCCCTGCTCGGGCTCTGGGTAGTCAGGTCCACTTTTCCTTCCACCACCATGCCCATGATTTTGTTACCCAAGATTACAAAGTCCATCATTTTGTTTTTTTGCAGGGTCCATATACAAATGGGAAATGTATCTGGGTTAAAGCAGAGTTTTCTGAGGATTTACTCTCGTTTTCTGAGTAAAGAGACTCTCTGTTTACATTAAGACTGGACCAAAACCTGTTCCATTCAATGTTAACCACATGCAAAGTCCACATGCACCTGGGTATTATATACATATGTGTATGGCCTAGTAGTGGTGTGTCTAAGAGAAATGGCCATGTAGACTACCCTGCTAAGTCCCAGTATACCGGCCACTTTAATAGGTACACCTCTCTGGTACCAGGTTGGACCCACTTTGGCCTAAGAATTAACTCCTGTCTGTTGGTGTCAGACTTTCATCAAGGCGCTAAAACATCCCTCAGAGATTTTTGTCCTTAACATGAGAGCATCACACCGGTGCTGCAGATTTGTTGGCTGCACATCTTTGATGCAAATCTCCTTTTTCACCACATCCTAAAGGGGCTCTGCTGGACTGAGATCTGGGACTGCGGAGGCCACTGGAGTACAGGGAATTTAATGATATGTTGAAGAAACTAGTTTGAGATCATCTGAGCTTAGTGACATGGTACATTATCCTGCTGCAAGTATCTATCAGAAGCTGGTACACTGTGATTCTAAGAGGATGGACATGATCAGCAACAAAACGCAGGTAGGCTGTGGGGTTTAAACGATGCTCAGTTGGTACCAAGAGGCCCAAAGTGGGCCAAGAAAATCCCTCCCACACCGTTAGACCACCAGCAACAGCCTGAACCGCTGACACAAGGAAGGATGGATCCATGTTGTCATGTTGTTTAGGCCAAATTGTGACCCACCACCTGAATGTGGCAGCTGAAATCCAAACCCATCAGACCAGGTTTTGTCTTCTTCTGCCTTCTGCAGCCTGTCTGTTTCAAGGTTGTACGTGTTGTGTGTTCAGTGATGCTATTCTGCATACTTTGGATTAAGGCTGCACGATATTGGAAAAACTAACGTGATTTTTTTCAACCCTGCGATATATATTGCGATATTAAAAAGTACAGGAATTTTCACCAGATGACCTGAATAGCATTTAATGTTATAATAATAATAATGCATCAGATTTCATATAGCGCTTTATCAGAGACCAGAGTTATGCTGCACCGCTGAAATCTTGAGGACAGTTAACCTGCTCTGATCTTCCCTCTTTTTGTGAATGTTAGTAGAATGGCTTCTGTCTGTCTCAGAGATATTTTTAGCTTTTATTGTGCTGGGATGTTATTGTGGTGACAGATGAACACAGAACACGTGTTTTGGTCAGCATCATCCTTCTTGTAACCAGAACAATTCCAGATAACTGACATTTCTTTTCTTTTGGCAACAAGTCTTCATCTTCGGTGGTTGTCTCTTGTTCATTGCTCATTTTGCAATCGTTGTTGTTGTTACTGGTGTTGTGCCATGAAACGCACGTCCTCCGAGAATTGCATGCACCTTGCAAAACGTGCACCGCTTATAGTAGAGTGGTCCATAGAAATATACATTTTAAAACCCATACAATTCTTATTTGTTGGGTTTAACAGTCATGAGTAAAGTTCCAAAAGTAATTTTCAGTGGACACGCGTTTCTTGGCTCAACACCAGCAGCACCAGCGACTCACTCCGTGTGCAGAACATGTGCAGGGGTTTGGTTTCCTCCTCTCTGACTTTGATTGACAGCTGGCAGGGTAGTCTAATTGGCAACTGAGTAAAGAAAGAATATGATGGGTGGATCGCTGCACAGCACATGCAGAGTCACATGCAGTGTATCTCAGTCTTTTATCCTTGAAATTAGCTGAGTTCATTCGCCTCTGACATCGCAGGCTCTGCGATTCGACTATTGCACACACGTACATTGCGATGACGATGCTCAAACGATATATCGCTGCTTTGGATGTAATGAGAGGTTATTTGACTTCTCGTTGCCTTTCTATCATCTCCAACCAATTCCTCTGTTTCAGACCATCCTCTGTCTCAGAGATGGTTGTGAGTTAAAATCCCAGTAGATCAGCTGTCCCTGAAATACTCAGACCAGCCTGTCTGGCACCAACAACCATGCCATATTCAAAGCCTCTTAAATCACCTTTCTTCCCCGTTCTGATGCTCAGTTTGGACTTCAGCATGTCCTCTTGACCACGTTTACATGCCTCAATACACTGAGTTGCTGCCTTGTGGTTGGCTGCTCAACTATTAGAGCTCTATTTTTGTGTGCGCCTGTGAGGCGGCGGAGGGCGGCGAGCCCCGCACAGTTGTATTTTCGTCTGGCGCAGCCCGGCGTACAGCCAGTTTGGTATTTTCGTGGACTGAGGATTTAAAGGCAATGAGAGGAGCTTATGTGATTGGTGAAAACAGGTCTCGGCTGTGTTAAAGTCACTCAACGCCCTGTCTCCTCCCTCGCTACGACTTACGCCGCTGGTAGGAGCTGAGTTAGGGAGGGGGGATACTTACGCCGGGCTGCACCGCTCACCAAAATACCAAATTGTGCTTGGGAATGCCTTGTCAGTGCGGCGGACCTCACTTACGCTGCGCATGCGCCGCGTCGCCAGCGAGGCACGAAAATAGAGCCCTTAGTGTTAGCAAGCTGTTAAACAGGTGTACCTAATAAAGTGACCAGTGGGTGTATATTGAATCAGTACCTGGGTCAAGAGATACTCTTTATACTCAAAGAATCACACAGAGCCACAGTGAAACCAAATGATCCTTCTTATTTGTGCTGCAGTTGTGTTAATATCTGTTTCTGTTTTTCTGGTCTGTAATGTAAATAAGAAAACTTTGTGATTCCTTTCTGCTGATGATACCATAGCCTATTTCATGTTAAACGACCCATTTTAGCAAATTGCACAACATCATGTTTTCATCAATAGAGATAATGCTGATGGAGCACAATGTTTTTGCATGATATTTCCTGTTTGTTATCGAGTGTAACCAGCTGACCTGTCATGATCATACAGTTAAGATCAGGTGTATGTATACCTAACTTTATATAGCAACAGCAAAGTCTTGACTGTTTGTTTGTTACTCGACTGCTTTTATTACATTTTAACTTCAGGAAAGAAGGAAGCCGTAGCCAAAATTGTATTTTACTGAACACGAAAGTGACCCGTTTTTATTTGTTCTGTGGTTTCAATATTATGAACAGCACCAAGATAATGTTTGTGTTGTCGGTTGACCAACAGACTAAAACCAATTCTTTGGCATGCAATAAACACAGTTCAGTCAGGACCATGTTCATCTAAATTCTTTTTTTTTTCAGTTTCTTGTCCCAAACTAGGTTTTTTTGTTGTTGTTTTTTTAGCAGCTTGAGTGAGTCTCCCTGCCCTCCTGCATAAGCCTACAAAACAAGATGAGATACGATATTACTTTATTAGTCCCACAGGGGGAAAGGGTTCGCAGAGCTGCTGCAAAGGGCTGCTGTTTGTCCAGCGCCAGAGGTGTACAAGGAAAAATCTACTGCAGGGAGAGCAACAGCAAAGACCCATGTAGTGCAGAGCACAGCAGGCATCAGTAACAGTCCATGTGACTGGTAACACAAAATCAGACGCATCAGCGAAACAGAAAGAGCTGGGGTGGAGGCAGGCTAAAGCAGTTTAAGCAGAGTTTTGACATCCACAAATTGGATGTGTAGACTGAAATGGCTGATCTTGACATAGTGGCCTGTTTGAACTAATGCCATGCTCAAGAATGGTGACTACAACTGTTAAATGATTTTTTCAAGGTGATGATATTTCAAAATGTTTTAATCTAGAGCCGTCACTCCAATTAAGCCATTAGGAAAAATAATATCCAGTAAAGATCCAGTAACAGTATCAGGAAGCTGAAAGGGACTGACCGTTGATTACTCAAGCAACTGTCACTGAAAAAGACTGTATCACATGTGCACACTTGAGTTGGCAGCAAGCTCAACTTTAGGATTGGTTTAAGCAGCTAAACAGCAGCCTGTTGTACGTGTAAAAAATTAAGTCACAATATCAAAAAGGAAATAAGCTGTGATTAAATTCGTTGATACAATATTTTACCTAGGGGAGTGTGGGAGCAAACTGTGGCTAAAAAAATTGATCCCAATTCCTGACTAAAAAAACGTAATTACATTTGGGATATACATTTTTACATATAAAGGGGTCCCCTCGATATCAATAACACACTTATTGGCATTAAACTTGTTGATATTTTATCATTTAACCTTGGTGAGTGCTTGCCTTGTGGCCATAGAAGCGAGCGGCGTCCGACGTGACAGGCGGTCATGTTGGAACTATTGAGAGTTCCATAACCCGGAAGTGGGGTCCGCCGGGCTGTACAGCGTATGCCTATGGGAGTGTCGCCACTCTGTTTAATCCACTGCTCTGAAAAAAAGCAATGGGAGTGGGCAGGAGCGGGAACAACATTAATAGATGATCATTTTCAGCCATGTTAAACAACCAGATGAACAAATGCGTCCATTTTTGTAGTCATCTCTCAGTGAGAGCCAACACTTTTGACTGCGCTAGCAACACAAAAGAACTACAACAGTGGTTTGACTTCCTGTCAGCTGGGAGCGTGGCTGCGCATTTCTACCCTTCAAGCCAGGAGCGCGGATACATCATTTTGTGACATTCTGTAGTTTTTCAATCATTTCTGGAGTCGTGGCGAATCAAATCATCATACCTGTCTGCCCCTGATAGGTGAATAAAGCTCTTGGATTCATGCTCAGATCTTGCTACGTGCTTCGAGAGTGAAGTAAACAACGACGGGGGCAGAGAGCAGCTTTGGAGGAGAAACATCCAGCAGTGTGAACAACCTCTTCATATGGAGTGCTTTGGTTCACACTATTGGCGTTTTCCGTGAGTGTTGCATGACTTTGGGTGAGCACAGACATGAACGCACTACAGCCACTTATTTATTTATTCATTTTTCTAGTTTTAAGCGCTGGTCTTGTACTGGCACTATACTAGGGCAGCTGTATACACTTTATTTTTTATATTTACATTTGTATTGATGGACACTTTATCATGACTGCCACTTGTTTTACAGAAAGCAAATAGTTTATTATTCTCCAGTGCAGTCTTTAATTTTATTTATACAACCGTTTTAATTCATTTAAGTTTGTTTCTTCAATGTTTTCAAAAATGTGATGAAGGTTCTGAAAAATAATAGATAGCTTTCTGAAAAGCCACACCTGTAAGCCTGTAAGCTCTCAAATACTATTTAAATTCTGTTTCTATCTGTGACAGAGGCTGAGATATCAGGTTTTTTGTAAACCTCAACAGTTAAGAAAACCTCAGGATCTCGGGGCCCTTCTCAAAATTGCCCTCAGGATTTCAGAGGTGCGGCTCAGACAGGGTTCAGGTCTTAATGGGTTAATAGGGAAGCAGATTTCTTTTGAGAGATTACTGATGATTTTGCATCAAGGAAGGCAAGAAAGGTCAGGTTTTAGTTTTAGTTTGTGTTTTCTGTTCATAGAGCAATCAAATTTTCTTCAGTGTGTTTTCAAATTTGTGTGATTTGCCATGTAAGACTATTAGTCTGTATTTTCTTGGAGGGGGTCTCGCCCGGGGAGTAATTTAGTCTAGAACCGCTACTACATATATATGCAGTGCGCTTTTACCTAAAATAAAAAAATGCAACGTTTTTTTTCAACATGTTTGGTTTTATTCAAACGGGAGCGGGACAGGAGTGGGAGTAATTTTGAGTGGGAGCGGGATGGGAGTGGAAGTCATTCTACGGGAGTGGGACAGGGCAGGATTAATTTTTTTACTACGGTCCGGGATTGGGACGGGGCGGGATTTTTTCCCTGGGAGTGGGACAGTACAGGAGTGAAAATCTGCTCCGTGTCATGCTCTACTTCCCTGTCAATAAATAAACTGTTTTATTTCTCTCTGAAGTGACGCCTGTTGGCTTATTTCTTGTGCATTTTACTCAGAAATTAGGTAAAACAGGGGGAAAAGTGATTTATGCCGTCACATGTCACAACGCAATGAGCATTGGGATGGTTTTGTTTCCGCACCGGCACCGTGCGCAAATAGGTAAACAACACTAAACAGCCAGGTGACTAACAACACGCAAACCACTGTTACGGACAGTGACACACTAAGAGTAAGACTGGCTATACCGGTGTCAAAGAAATCTGTTAACAATAAAAATATGTTTGTTTGCAATATGACAGTTATTTATATTGCTCACTCCAAATTGATTCCAAGTGTTCTGATGGGCCACATGGTGTGCCAAATGTTGCTGCAAATGTTATACTAGGTAGGTGCGGAAATTAAGGTGAAAAAGACAATAAAAATGCGTTAAAAACCCAGGGGAAAAAAGCATATTTTTACACTGTGCGCGCGCTCCAGAGGGGGACCCGGCACCTCCTGGAGGACAAATTAAGCACTGACTCCAGGTAAATATTAACTTTATTTTGAATTGTTCGCGTTTTAAAATAGCAAGTAATGACGAGCTAGCAAACAAAGCTAAAGCTATTGATAGCTACACTGATGTCAGACTCCGGTGACAAATTCTCTGCAAATGGTAAGGCATGATGACATTGAATTGAGTGGCGCCTCGATTATCAGGGGCATGTTTTCACCCCTTCCTCTTGGCCCTCTAAACAGACAGCCAAAAGGCCAAAGGGGTAAGACGAAGGTGAATGGGAAAGAGTGACAATTGGGATTGGCCCTTAAAGTAACTGGTGAAAACTGCAGTTTCTTTTAAAGTTCTGTATTAGTTTCAGCCATGTCGGAAGAAGTTATGTTTTATTTCTACATGGAGCATACATGAGGGGACTCAGAGATTTGAAATGTCTAATTGTTTGGTTTCGATACACATAAATCAGTACCACTTAAATGCTTTATAAAGTGCAGTTCAGTTTAGTTTTGGCACTAAATCCACTTAGCATAAGGAAAAAGTCTTTGTTTGGGTTTAAATAAGTATGAATATTCATAATCTTGTGACATCACCTCTGTATTATAGGTTGTGCATCCTTTATGATATCGCACTTTGAGAACCTGATCCCACAAGCAAGAGCGTGGTGTCCAAACTGATGATAGAAGGGCACTGACACTCTTGTAATAATAAGAGTAATGATAAGCATTTTATTTATAGGTCACCTTACATCATTAAAACAAACAGAGTTTAAAAACAAACAGTAATAAAATACAATTTAAAAAATTTAAAAAGAATCGACCCCAGATATGTGGTTAGATAGAGTAAGACAGTTGAGTTTTGAGTTTGGATATAAATGTGGAAATAAGTCAACTAGGGAGAGCGTTCTAGAGCTAGACAGGTCGAACCGGGGGGGGGGGGGGGTATTTTACCTCTTTCCCACCATCTTCCTGTATTAGTATTGTCCCGTAAATCTCCCGTATTATGATATATATATATATATATATATATATTGTGGTGAGACGCCGCCTCCTTTTGTTTTATTTTGGTTGGACTTCCTGTTTTTCTTCGTTTTCCTGGTTTGGCTTGACTCTTTTCCAGAGCTCCCTCCCCTCCCCAGTCGCTGAGTCTGAGTGAGACTCCACACCTGCTCTACATCTGCAATCAAGGTCCTTTAAGAAGCCAGCAGCCCTCAGTCTCAGTGCCTGAGTATTGTCTTCACTCACATGTGGTACAGACGCGTCTCCTGGCCTCCCTTTCGAATAAGTACTTGTAACTTTGCTCCTTGTGATTCATTGTATGTCTACTCACTTCCCTCTCCTCTGTTTTCCCCGCAGTGTCTCCAGCCCACACAACAGCCAGCCAGTCAACCGGACTTCCTCTTTTGCCTTAACCCTGACTTTGGACATTAAAATTACATCTTAAGTTGATATCTGCCTCTGGGTCTGCTTCTGGGTCCTCAAAACACACCACACGACACACACACACACACACACACACACACACATATATATATATATATATATATATATATACACTCACCGGCCACTTTATTAGGTACACCTGTCCAACTGCTCGTTAACACTTAATTTCTAATCAGCCAATCACATGGCGGCAACTTAGTGCATTTAGGCATGTAGACATGGTCAAGACAATCTCCTGCAGTTCAAACCGAGCATCAGTATGGGGAAGAAAGGTGATTTGAGTGACTTTGAACGTGGCATGGTTGTTGGTGCCAGAAGGGCTGGTCTGAGTATTTCAGAAACTGCTGATCTACTGGGATTTTCACGCACAACCATCTCTAGGGTTTACAGAGAATGGTCCGAAAAAGAAAAAATATCCAGTGAGCGGCAGTTCTGTGGGCGGAAATGCCTTGTTGATGCCAGAGGTCAGAGGAGAATGGCCAGACTGGTTCGAGCTGATAGAAAGGCAACAGTGACTCAAATAACCACCCGTTACAACCAAGGTAGGCAGAAGAGCATCTCTGAACGCACAGTACGTCGAACTTTGAGGCAGATGGGCTACAGCAGCAGAAGACCACGCCGGGTGCCACTCCTTTCAGCTAAGAACAGGAAACTGAGGCTACAATTTGCACAAGCTCATCGAAATTGGACAATAGAAGATTGGAAAAACGTTGCCTGGTCTGATGAGTCTCGATTTCTGCTGCGACATTCGGATGGTAGGGTCAGAATTTGGCGTCAACAACATGAAAGCATGGATCCATCCTGCCTTGTATCAACGGTTCAGGCTGGTGGTGGTGGTGTCATGGTGTGGGGAATATTTTCTTGGCACTCTTTGGGCCCCTTGGTACCAATTGAGCATCGTTGCAACGCCACAGCCTACCTGAGTATTGTTGCTGACCATGTCCATCCCTTTATGACCACAATGTACCCAACTTCTGATGGCTACTTTCAGCAGGATAATGCGCCATGTCATAAAGCTGGAATCATCTCAGACTGGTTTTTTGAACATGACAATGAGTTCACTGTACTCAAATGGCCTCCACAGTCACCAGATCTCAATCCAATAGAGCATCTTTGGGATGTGGTGGAACGGGAGATTCGCATCATGGATGTGCAGCTGACAAATCTGCGGCAACTGTGTGATGCCATCATGTCAATATGGACCAAGCTCTCTGAGGAATGCTTCCAGCACCTTGTTGAATCTATGCCACGAAGAATTGAGGCAGTTCTGAAGGCAAAAGGGGGTCCAACCCATTACTAGCATGGTGTACCTAATAAAGTGGCCGGTGAGTGTATATATATATATCTCAACATTATTCTGCCTCTCCAAACTGAACACTGTCACAAGCGTGTGCCCAAGCGTGTACCCACCAATTAGTAGTAGCGAGGTGTAATCGCAGACAATGAATTGGGGGTTGTCAGAAAATTTCCCCTATTTTCCAAACCAAAACTTGACAGGTATGATCCAGTATGTAATGGGGAGTGAGTAGAGCTGTTGTAGGATGGATGTGATGTGGTAAAAGGAGGTGGTGTGAGTGATGTATGGAGGGTGTTGTGTGGGAGGCAAAACAGAAATGACTGACCATCTTTAATCATGTCTACAATCATCAAAAACAATAAAACCATGCTGTGCCAAAAACTGCCACATCACTCTGAGTAAGGTAAAGCTCTTATGTGGGACTTTTGCTTCTTGTTTAATTTTGGTGCCCCCTGTAGACAGAGCATTCTTTTCTGAGGCTGGGGACCAGGAGTGGACCAACAAACTAATCTTGATGTTTAATAGGTTTGATTCTGGCCACACTTACTCCCCCAGCCACTACCAGCCAGCACCTCTGCTACACCATCTTAGCCCTCTACCAACCCCCCTCCCTTCCTCATCCACCCCTTGCCTCTCCATTACGTCTGACCATATGAGAAGTGAGCTAAGAAGGATCTAGCCGAGTATGGCATCAACTCCAGACTGCTGCAGGACTGCACAGACCAGGTCTGTGAGATGCTCCTGCACATCCTCAAACTGAGCCATAGTCTAGAGAGGGTCCCAACCATAGACTGTATATAGAATGAACATGATCTGCCTTCCTGTTGGATGAAGCCGCCACGAAAACAGCACCCCTGGTGATATACTGCAACAAGTCAGTTGCAATATTGACATGTAGTTATTGTTAGACTGATTTTTGCTCAAGTCCTCTTTTTTTCTGGGCAGCTCCATTTTTAAAAGTTATCAGGGGTTATAAAGATGGGATATGATGTCATATTTTCTATGGCGGACACTTGGACACTGTCAGTGGGCATACGAAGATTGTGTAGGACATCTGTTTGAGCAAAGCGTCTTAACACAGCAATTCTCCCACCGAGCAGTACTGCACAAATGCTGGTTTCTGGGAAGGGAAAAAAAATAGTGGTGCTTTTTTGTTTCAAACTCATACAATGACGGGAGGCAGATTTACATTGTCCATTCAGTATACAGTCTATGGTCCTTAGCCCATGGAAAACCTAGTGTGTGGTTTCTGTCCCAGAGGAAGACTCAGCAGACTGGTCAGGAAGGCTAGTCCTGTCCTGGGCTGTCCCCTGGACTCCATAGAGGAGGTAGGTAAGAGGAAAGTGTTAACCATACTGACATCCATCATGGACAAATCTTCATTCATCCCCAGCATGAGACTGTGCGGGTCCTGAACAGCTCCTTCAGCATCAGACTGAGACATCTGCCCTACAAGAAGGAGCGTGACTACATGTCCTTAATCCCATCTGCAGTCAGACTCTATAACATCAGCAGTACTCCACTTCTTCAACATCATCCTGTCTCATCTCACTACACGAAGGCTGCTTGGTGACTTTGCACCATGATTTACCAATAGTCACACATTTTAATTACTTTATCATTTTAATCATTTGATATTTGAATTATTGCAATGTTAAAACCCTTTTATGCATGCCTGCCCCAGCATTTATTCTTGTTATTAGGTTGTCACACCTCTCAGGTAAAAAGATCAATAATTAATTGCAACAATCAGCAGGTCATCTGACCTCCAGTAATAAAATGCAGTTCAAGGGTTTCCAAACCTGCCAGTTCAAACTGACATACTGACTCACTCTCTCTGGCTCTATTCCCAGAGTGCTGACACACCTCGATACACACACACACACACACAACCACCCACTCCATGAACATTAAACTGAGGTGATCTGAATTCACCTTCAGAGTGAGATTGGTTGCTACGCTCAGTTTGGTTTCACATCTGTGACACTAAAAGGAACAATCAGAGGACTTGTCTGATTTTTTACTGACTGAGTTCTACGATGCATTTACGCCACGAAAGGAAACCTGACATGTTGCTGAGGTAAGAAAACCACATCAACCACACTGCTGCTTTCTGAAGAAAGAGTAATCATGAAAGAAGTGGGTTTTTTGAGACTGTAAATGCCGGCAATGAAATGTTTTTGTGTAAAGTTTAATTTCGAGTCACCTTCAACTTTGTGAATAAGTGCTGTCCTTATCTGACCAGCTTTGGTGCAATTTAGATTAAAGAAAACAGACATTTGTAGCCACATACTCAGACCACTGATTTGGCCGGGACCCTGTAGCCAATCCCCAAGAAAAGGACAGTCTACTTTAAGAGTTGGCGGCTCTTGCTCCCTCTACTCTCTCCCTCTGGCACTGTGGTCACTTCTTGATCACCTCACATCTGGTCTGCAGTGTTTCTGTTGTGCAGGTACGGTAGCAGTGGTGTGTTTGATTGTCTGCATGGACATTTTATCACAATTCTAAGACGCTCTGTTATAATAGTTACAAAATACAGCGTGTACCCTGTTGAGCTCATCCAATCAGCATTGCCTGCTTGGCAGCAAATACATTCCCATTTTAATCAATGCAGCATCAATAAAGTGTCTCTGCTCTATCTCAACGCGCTGCTCTTCTAAAGCCAAAAACATACAGGATCCCAGTTGAGCGCGTTCGTCAGCATTGCGTCTCTGCTCCGTAGAGCAGCGCTGTCTATCGCACACAGGATGCATGTTTGGAGCGTGGCAGCAGCGTAGTGCAGCCCTGGCTGAGCTCAGTGTAGAGGGAACCACATGCTCATGTCAGGTTGTTTTGCCTTTCTGTGGTCTATTTCCTGCTAATTTGGATATGATTCAGTGACTGTTGAGCCTCTATTGTATGTAAAAAAGCAACATGATTTTAAAGTTTTGGTTTTTGCAGGTTTACTCATGTTTAAGAAAGTAAACTATGTTCCTTTTTGCCGTTCTGTGACCTTCACACAGACTTAGCAGTTAAAAGTCCTTTTGGGGTCCACATGGATCAGGGGTTGACCATTGGATTGTTCTGTGTAACTGATAAATCCATAACCAGGAGGTATTTCTCAGCTACAAGATCAGATAAACAGTTGGGAGTCAGGGGTGCAGCCAGAAATTTTGGGCCCCACAACAAAAAAATCAATCAGGCCCCCTCTGCGCAGTGACTGTCACCACATCTCTTGGACCTAACGGTCCCAGCAAAAGTTTTACATAACTGAAATTACAGGCTGTCAACGGTCCTGCTTCTTGTAGTTCAATACTAGTACTAGCACAATATTGTCTGCTGGTGATTTCTACATCCAAATCTACGTACAGTATGCAGTTCAGTATTTGAAATAATTGCGCAGTATTTCAGGCCAAGTTTATGATGGGAATAGTAAAGACTGTATCTATAGATGTCATTTAACAGCCATAAATCAATCTAAATAAAAGTATCAATATCAATTACATGCAGGGTGAGGTAAGCTTCTCATTATTTCCAACTGTCCAGAATACAGTAGAGACAGTAGACTGTTTTTAAACTTCTATTTATCTCATAATGATCATTAAGTGAAAAATAATTTGTGTTTAAATTAATGTAACTAATATCTTTTTTTTGAACTGGTTAAAAGAGCAAGAGAGACAGAGAAATCCACATACTCCCTGCAATGATGCTGTCATGTCATTGAATATAGTGTTGCTCATCTACTTCACAGGGACAGGGAAGGGTGCAGGTATGGAGAGATTGAGGTGCTGCGGACTCATCTGTTTTTAAGTCTGCTAATAGAGACAGTCAATGATTTAATATAAATACACTGCTAAACATTTCCCTGCACTGATTAAATTTTGATGAAATAGGCTAACACTAGCCCGTGGCTTGCTAGCTATTTCAACTGTAGACAGTAATACCACTCTTGGTAAAAAAAAAAAAATCCTGGGTAACATTGTGGTCACTAATTATAGTAACTTTGGGTGTATCTCCTGTCCTAACTGCAATTAAACTCAAGTTACTAATAAGTGCACAAAGGCAGCTTGTTAACTTAATCGTGTGTGACTCTTTACTGGATATTTCATCAGATAAGATATACAGTGCCTTGAAAAAGTATTCATACCCCTTGAACTTTTTCACATTTTGTCACTCTACAACCACAAACTTAAAAGTATTTTATTGAGATTTTTTCTCATCAACCAACACAAAGTAGCAAATTATTGTGAAGTGGAACGAAAATGATACATGGTTTTCAAAAATTTCAACAAATAAAAATCTGAAAAGTGCAGTGTGCACAAGTCTTTTTGGGTATATCCCTACAAGCTTTGCTCATCTAGAGACTGAAATTTTGCCCATTCTTCCTTGCAAAATAGCTCAAGCTCAGCCAGATTGGGTGAAGAGCGTTTGTGAACAGCAGTTTTCAAGTCTTGTCACAGATGCTCAACGGGATTTAGGTCTGGACTTTGATTTGGCTATTCTAACACATGAATATTCTTTGATCTAAACCATTCCATTGTAGCTCTGGCTGTATGTTTAGGGTCATTGTCTTGCTGGAAGGTGAATCTCTTTCCCACTCTCAAGTCTTTTGCAGCCTCCAACAGGTTTTCTTCCAGGATTGCCCTGTATTTAGCTCCATCCATCCTTCCATCAACTCTGACCAGCTTCCCTGTCCTTGCTGAAGAAAAGCATCACCACAACATGAGGCTGGTGTGTTCAGGGTGATGAGCAGTGTTACTTTCCCGCCACACATAGCGCTTTTGTGTGTGAATGTCCGACCCGCATCAGTGTTAGCATAACATTAAACTATGTGAACTTGCTAACCTGCAAAACTCGAGTAGGCAGCTGCTTCGAAAGAAGTGCCCTGTATGTGTTTACTGTTAACTTTAAATGCTGGAAACTATATAACCAGAAAAACGTGAGTAAGAAGTTGCTCAGAGAGTGGTCCCAGTCTGTGTTTAATAGAAAAGTGCTGACAATCAAAAAACAACAACAAAAAAAACAAAACAAACAAACAAACAAAAAAAAAACCATGCTGATTCTTTTCTTCTTGTAAACTGCCTGGTTTAGAAGGAAAGAAGGCTAGAGCATATTGTGACATTACACTTTTGAAACCAAATACCTATTAGTGCGTGTATGTACTTATTATAGTGTATTTATTTTCTAAATTATTTATTTAAAAATATTTTATTTGCAGCCTATGCAGATATTTTTTCAGATAATCATACATTAATCATACATTAACATTTTTTCCATAATCGCCCAAGCACTGATGCAGTTTAGAGATGAAAATGACGGAGAAGAAGGTGAAAGAGACAACCAATTAAAGCAATGTATTACTCTTGTGGTACATGAAGGACAAAAGCTGTAAATTGAGACTGTAAAGAAAGGACGTCCCTAGCAAAAATGTACATGCAGGTTATGCTGTTATATCGTCCCTACCAATGTTGAGACCAAACCTACGCCATTGGAAGATAATCTACTAATATGCACAGCTGACTGGCTACTAATGACATTTAAATCCATGATTTATAATGTCTGATTGTATTTTGGTAGTTGTTTTCTGATTATGGTTTATCATACTGTCCATATTATAATTATTTTTTTCATCAGTTTGACTCTACCATGTTTTAGGAAGTAAGTTGCTATATTGAAGCACTGGACTGACTTAACAGTTGAGACCATAAAATTATCGGGGAAGTGTTTGTGGTTTAAGAAGAAGCAGACTCATTTTCTCAGACTCAAAGCTCTCCATTTATAGGTAACCACGAAATCAATGTAATAAGGTGTGGCTGTCTCCCTGAACCACATGACCCTCAATCCTTTTACTGGATGCTGCACCTTACAAACACCACTCCCTACAAAACCTGTACAAACCTGTACAAACATGAGTTGTTTATATCTATGAAAACTATGCCTCATACTTGCTGTTCTTGTGTTTGCTTTTTGGTTTGGCCCATATCATTGAAACATTTAAGACAATGACAAACTTGTTACTCTGAAATGCAGGAGATTATAAAAGAAAGTCAAGGATGCAAGTCTAGACTGGCACAACAGAGCAAGGATGGAAGCCAAGGATAAGGAACAAGACAGTTTTTCAAGCCATCTCTCCATGAAGAGTGACAACTCCAAAGAGGAGCCACTATATTTCAGCCAGGAGGAAAGGTTTGTTGTCATTTCTTCTCTGTGCCTTAACATTTTCAAAACTATTTGTACCTGGCTCTTCTAACAGAACAAAAACATTAAATAATGGAGAAAAATGACTCATCGTTTTATGGTTAATATTCAGTTACTATGGTTCGGGTGTGTTGTGCAGAATTCAGGTTGGTACACAGTCGTCCTAAAGTCCTAAAACTTGTGTGTCAGTGCATGTATTAGAGGGACTCAGAGCAATTCTGGTTTTTCTCAACAACGTAAAGTATCCTGGAAAATTTAAAATAATATTTAAAAATATATTTTAATTTATTCATGCATTGATTACATGCTCGGAGAATTATTTTGACTTTTTGGTAGTAATTTTGATGATTTTAGCCTAATATTAAGAAAGTCTGAAATCCAGTGTCCCAAATTAACCACATGATCAATCAAAGATCTAAACTGCAGATGTTCAAATGTACAACTTGTGCTTTTTTTATGGCTTCTTTACCATGAATGATTTTGTGCATCATGGCTCAGAGGCCATCAGCATGTGTCACTGGGAAAGCCCAGATTACTTTATTAGTAGCCCTCAGATGGTCTGTATTTTCGGGCCAGGTGTTGCTCACCTCCCTTTTGAGTAATATCCTCTATGGGGTTCAGGCCAGGTCAGGTGGTTGGCAAATCGAGTACTGTGACATCTTGGTCGCTGAACTATTTGGTAAGAGTTTTGGCACTGTGGATAGGTCCCAGGTCCTGCCAGAAAAGGAAATCAGTATCTTCATGAAGTTTCTCAACAGATTAGGGAAAGAAGGTCTCTAAAACCTCCTGGTAGACTTCAGGCTGTGTTGATTCTGGATTTAATGAAACACAGGAGACCAGCAGCGGCACATGACATGGCACCCCAAATCACCACAGACTGAAAAATTCACACTGAATGTCAAGCACCTTGGATTTTTGGCCTCTTTGATCTTGATGCTCTGACACCAGGCTCAGTTCAGTCCTGTGGAGCTCCTCTAAGTTCTTGACTATACTTTGTTTGTCAGTCCTCTCCAGGCTGTTCTCATCCCTGTTTCTTGGTCTCCTTTTTCTCCCTCACTTTTCTCTTCAGTCAACTTTCATGAATCTGCTTCATAGAGACTCTGGAAACAGCCAAACTTTTCAACAGGAACCCTCTGAGGCTGAGCCTGTCTTTGGAGGGGGTCAATGATGGTCTTCTCGATGACTGTCCGGTTTACAGCAGTCTTTCTATAATCAAACCACTCTATTAATTTGACTGCAAGTTTGCCAAGACCATCTCAAAAAAAGGCCAAACTTATCAGCTGAGTTGATCATCCTGGAATATATGCTTGATGAAGTATAATACCATATTAGAGACATATCATGTGAGACAACAGACAATTGAATTTCCCTTTGGGGATAAATAAAGTTATTCTTATTCTTATTTCACCTTCCCCATTTGTCTCTGTATGTCATTTCCAGGACCCCTCCAGGTGCTGAGACCAGCAAGACAGGTGCAAAATCCCCAGCTGGTGTATCACAGGCACAAAGCGTATGTAGAGTTTTCTTGTTCTTGTTTTCACTGTTTTTTTATCTGTATCAGACTCTGTTTAGGAACCATTGTTGTTCAAATATTTAACCATTTTCTCTCCTATTCAAACCTTCGTTTCACAGGTTGATGACTTTACACTCCCACCCCAGATGGAAAACTGGACCAAAGACCATGTTAAAGACTGGTTGACCACTAAACTCAGAGTACCACAGAACATTGTGCAGAATCTTTTTGAACAGGAGTTTTCAGGAGCTTGTTTGGTGTCTTTTGAGAAGCGAGACCTGTTAGAGCTAGGTGTTCCACTTGCACCAGCTATACAAATTGTACGACAGGTTGAGAAGTTCAAACAGCAATTTTCTCCCGGGTTAAGTGTATCAACTCAAGAAGTTTCAGGAACCATTCATGAATCTATGGAAACTCAAACAGTTTCATCGGATTCAGGGATCCAAAGTCTAAGCTCTACATTACTCATTCTGCAGGAGGCAAGAAACAGAATCAAATCTGTAATGGACCAGAAGTCAACAAATAGCAAATTCCTTCTTCCAGAAGTGACTGATAGTCCAATCAAGTTGAAAGACCTAACTGACCAGAAATCAACAAATGATGAACCACTATATCAAGAAATTACTGACAGTTCAACTTTCCTACCACCTAACCAGCCAATATGCCAAATTCGAGCCTTTGACAAAAGCAACCCATCTATTTTCTACACGCACAATGGCAGGCTTCCCCCTGTGGCTGGTCCAAGTAATCTTCTTGATCCTGTCCATGAGTACCACCTGCTGCCTGATGCCAATGAAACAAGTGAAATAGAGATTCTCCACGAGTTCACAACAGAAGTATTTAGTTTTGCCGCAAGCTGCATGAATTCACGAACAAATGGCACTATACATTTTGGAGTCAACAAGCAGCCAGGACAGGGGCATGGTCAGGTGGTGGGGCACAAGATCACCTCTTTCAGCAAATATATTGAGATACTCAATTCACGTCTGTGGGATTATTTTGAAGAGGAGCATGTTAATGCTGCGAGTTTGTGCATCAGGCCTCCTAACTTTATACATGTTTACCTCGAAGATGGAACAGCTTCGGACAATTGGGTGATTGAGGTTGATGTGGTTCCAACATATTCACAGACGCAGGAGAATATTTTCTATACTCTACTGAGTATCGAATCAACAGAGAAAAAGCAACAAAGCAAAACTGAATGTCTCTTTTTACGAGATGGTTCGAGATCAATTAATATTTTGGCAGATACCAATCCTCGACGAGTCCAAGAAGAGATGAAAAGTTTGATCGTTAAAGTGAAAGACTGGGCATCAGTGAGAAAGACAGCTGAGGAGACGGATGAAAAACCTCCCTCCCAAGGCAACCAGGGTCAAAGGCTAAAACAGCTGATAACTCGTGGAAGAGAAGCATTTGAGAATTCCATTCAAGTGATTCTTGTTACTGACAAATGCCACCCAGACCAACTGGAGCACCTTGACTTTCTAAAGGAGATGAAGCTGTTTGCTGTACTTGAGTTTGACCCAGAGTCAGATGTAAATGGAACATGCAGTTTTTACAGAAGAGATCACGTAGGCAACCTGCACTTCCCTCGCATGTACGATACTCAAGACAGTGTGACCACAACCATTCAGAAGCTGAACTTGTTTCACCAAACAAGTTGGGTCTTCTGTAACGGACAAGTCAATGAAGAAAGTGAGACAGACAAGCCACTGACACCAAGTGAATGGCTCAAAAAACGCTCCGGTGAGATCAACAATGTGGTGTCTTTTCTTTTTAAACCAGACCTGCTCTCCAAAGACAGACTCCTTGTGATAATCATTCTTCACTCAGCTGTGGACATGGACATTTCGAGTCCTATTCTAGAGGCTTTCTGTGCAATCTATCGCACACTGGAAGGATTCGACAATATGTTGTGCATATGCAAAGACTCCTCTGTATTCGGTCGGTGGAGGCAGCTGGTAGAGTTTCGCTGTAAGGAAGACATCACCAGCAAATGCATCTTTGCACTGAGTCTAAATGAAATATCCAGCACCATCAAAAAGCTTAAAGAACCTCAAACACAATCTTCCAGGAGGTTCCTGCCATCCATAGGTTCAAGCTCAGTGCTGCTGACAAAAAAGGACGAAGAGCTGATGACTGTATTGGACATCTTGTGTGAAAATGAGTGTGAGAACACAGAAATTGAAACACAGGAGTCATTTGAGAAGTTTAAGATAAAAACAGAGGAGGACTTTTACAGAGGAGGACAGGTCACATGGTGGAACTTCTACCTTTCTGAAAAAGACCGGCTGCCATTCATCAGTCGAGACAAATACAGTGAGTTATATGACCTTATTACACCTGTAGATGGCTACACAAACCCATGTGTTATCATCAATCTTTTCCATCATCCAGGATGTGGGGGAACAACTTTAGCGATGCATGTTCTTTGGAACCTACGAAGGAAATTCAGATGTGCAGTTGTTAAAAACAACACAGCAACAAACCAAGAAATCGCAGCACAAGTCATAAACCTTCTGACCTATGGCAAACAGGAGCAGTCAAGCTATATGCCTGTACTCCTCTTGGTGGACAACTGGGATGATGTGGAGGATCTGAAGCAGTGCATCCTCAATGTTGCTAGTGTTAAGAAGCAACACAACCAGCTCGTGGTGATAGTACTAAACTGTGAGAGGACCAGGTTCCCTGATGAGAGCTCCAGAAATAGTCGCACTGCAAATGTGTTGATCACCAACAAGCTGTCAATCAAAGAGCAGAGTTTGTTCACTGAAAAATTTGAACAGCTCAAGGATAACCACAAAAAGCCAGAAACTTTCTATGCATTCATGATCATGACAAATAATTTCAGTGAGGATTACATCAAAAATGTGGTGAGCAACATTGTTGCAGATCTTGATGTTTCCACCCAAGAGGGGAGGCTTTTCTCTTTCCTTGCTTTGCTGAACACCTATGTCAATGGATCCTACATGTCCCTGTCTTTGTGTGAAGAGTTAGTGGGAATAAGAAATACTTTCTGGAAACAAGACACACTTGATGTTAAAATGAACCCCTATTCCACACTGATGATCACATTCACTGTTGATGAGCATGGTAGCTATCAAGCTGTACGGCTCTTACACCAAATGATTGCAAGTAAATGCCTTGAAGTCCTTACCCTGCGACACAATATGTCTCGGTCAGAGATCATTGTTGACCTTCTGCACTGTGACAAGCTGTACAAATCATGCATGGGAAAGGATTTCTTGGTCCAAACTATCCAAAGCATGCTTGTCACACGCCAGAGGAAAGAACAGGGGGATGAGAAGGACACATTCTTCTCCCCATTGGTTGAAGACATAGACGAGAGAGAAGGATCTGACAATATCAAAGATGTCCTGGAAAAAGCCACTTGTAGGTTTGACAAAAGTGCAACCCTACCACAAGCACTGGCAAGGTATTTCTGCTTGAGAGAGAAAGACTTCAAATCTGCATTGAAATGGGCTTTGGATGCCCGGAATAAAAAGTCAAACTCTTACATTGCAGATACAGTTGGGCAAGTGTACAAAGGCCACCTCAAAAAGGAAATTGAAGCTCCTGAGCAGCTCACTCCAGAAGCTCTTGATGAATGCCTGAAACTAGCCAATTCTGCTGTGGATGCCTTCAGGGACTCTCAGGAGCTGGCCAAGAAGGATGATTTTCTGGATGCATATGAAATGCACCATAAGAAGAGACAGAAATCTTACAATACATCAGGCTATGCAGGAGAGATAGATGTCATAATGATCCTTCTTGATGGTATCACAGAGCTTCCTGCTTTTTCCTCCCATGACAGACATAAGAGGGACAAAATACTACAGTTCCTCAAAGGTCAACACCCAGTAAGCAGTCTTAATGATTCAAGTAACCCAACCTTTGACCGGTTCGTTGCTGTCCTGGCAGACCATGAGAGATTTCTCACCTCTCTAATGCCAAGGCTAAAAGAAATCTTCAATTACTTTGAAAGCTACTTCACATACCTAAAGCCGAGGTCACTTGAAAAAGAAACAGCCGATGAACGAAACAAACGAAAGGTTTCTGAGTACTTTAGAAAATACATGCAAATATTTCGTATTTCAGTGGAAGAGAAAGCATCTGAAAAGGCCAGCAAACCCAACCTCAGTATGGGTCAGGAAATAGTGGACCAGAGATGCTATCTGGAAATAAAAAGAGCAGACTCGTTTGCTGGACTACTGCAGCACCTGAATGACAAATCTCCAGCAGAAATGGAGCACATACTCCGAAAATGGCAGTTTATCTTTGAGAACTCACAATCCACAAGTGTTTCAGATACAGTCAACTTTATTTTGGCGAACATTGTTCTCCACAGCCTCAAGCCCTCCTCCACACTGCTAAAAAGGTATGAAGTGTTGGTTTCCCTCCTCAATGAGGCCCTTCAAAAGGAGGGCACTCACTCAAGGTTGACTGAGATGTATTACCTCTCTATGCTGTTGATGTGGCCTTTAAAGGATAAAAGACTTGAAAGTTTGGCAACATACAGAAATATTGGTCTGTACATCACATCAGCAAAGAAATCGTTTCATCGACGCTACTCTCACATGTTTCCTTCAAGGAGCGCCATTGCTCATTTCTTCCTTGGAAGATCCAGTGGCCTTAGGCAAATCGTTTCCAAGGCGAAGCTCGATCAAATTTTGATGCAGGTTTCAAGGCAGCAAGCCTCCTGCAATGGCCAAAATAGTCAACAACGCAAGCTGCATGTTCTGTGGCAAAGTGGTGAAGCATGGAATCAGCCAGAGATCCAGAAGAAGCTGCTAAGAATTGAAGGACAGTCTGAACAAGGAGAAATTTATGTTAACTATGGGGGCGCCCTTAAAATGCAGGTGCGTCCTGTTTACCTGGGTGATATTCGAAGTGGATACAGCCGGGAGAAACTATCATTCTACCTTGGGTTCACCATGGAAGGCCCTGTGGCCTACAATATTAAGTATGAAAATGAGGACAAGTGACTGGCACTAACTTAAATGCCGGCATAAACATACTGGTGTTCCATAGACACCAGCAGGGAGATAGTGCAGATGTTTCATATTATGACAAACCTGGTTGCCACTCTTCACACTTAGTCCATGTTTGTAAGAGTAAAGCTAAAAAAGTCTATCATTGGAGAGCTGAAGAAACTCCAGCAATTTTACTTGTATTTCGTGAACTGTATTTTCTGTAGTTAAGTGTCTTCTTTACTATTATGTATTATTTTATGAAGCACTTCTTGAGACTGTTTGAAAAAACCATGTTCATACTTTGTACAAACATAATTCATTGTTACACAACTTTTGTCAATCAATTCAACAAATGTTTTCCATTCCTTTTTTTATACATAAGACTCAAACAAAGGCTGTTTTTAAAGTAATACACTTGTAAGGTGTGAACTTTTGTGCTTTTAACTAAAACAGCTGTCAAATGTTACACTGTGAGGGATATTATGGCGTAAAATTAATTTTATGTCAAACACAATCTAAATTAATCTGTCATGTTCCTCTTGTTGTTGATCAAATGTGATTTATTTCTTTTATCTAAAATGATGTTAATTAGAACTGAACTTTTTGTGTTTTTTTTAAAATGAAATGTTAATGTTTTTACAGTGTCATATTGTGGTTTAGAAATTTGTTCAACCATCAGTGTATCAAATGATCAAACATAATGATGTTTGATAAAAACAAACAAACAAACAAACAAACAAACAAAAATATTATCAAAACTTCTATGTGTATAAATGGATCTACTGCCTAAACCATGTATAATGTGTGATGGCCCAGTCCCCTGGTATGTTTTTTCTCTTATAGTGTTGCAGGTACATGTGATTGGAGCTGTTTAATCAGCCTGGTAGGTAGCACATCCGGGCAGTGCTCCCACTTTACAATAAAAGCTGCCCCATTTCAACTTTCAGGACTCTCTTCATTCACTTTGTTTGGTTTCTTTCTCTCTTTTTCCACCACATGACATTTCCCACACACCCACTCACTTACATCACTGATTCTACCGATACTCACATCCCATATTTTCTGCAGTATTATTTATGTTGAATTAGCAAACAACTTTAATTGAGTACTATCTGAGTACCTCTCTTTTTATTTGAACCAGTCATAACAAACCCAAACACATATGTTTTGGTTTGGCTAGTCTGGTTGATATCCTTGTTTTTAGAACTAGAACCAGAGCTCTTTTCTTTATTCTGGGGAGAGATTCAGTCATCACATTCAGTTATTCCGTCTTAACACTGTGCAATATTCTGTTAAACTCTACAATACTCTGTGCAAAATCCTACACTACAAATGGTCTGTGTACATATGATGTCCTACTCTATTTGCTTGTACAGAGCTCATATCTTAAACACTTTGAATTACAAATAAAGTTATTTACAAAGTGCAGTCAGGACCACTGTAGACAAAATTAATTATTTTTTTACAAGCAAACATTTTTACATTGGCAATATAGCTCTGTTCTGAGAGTTCCCCTCCCTTTCATGTGCTTACATGAAAAGCCAAGGCAGAGAGAGCAGCAGCAAATAAATACAATTAAGATAAATACATTAAAATCCCTCCACAGAACAGAGCAAGCATCAGTGACAATACATATGACACTGGTAAAATCAGGAGGAGCTGGGGTGGAGGTGGGTTGCAGAGTGGTTGCAGCAGGCAGAGTAGGCAGGAGAAGCAGTTTAAATAGGGTGCCATTTTGACATTAGCCAATAGGATGTGCAGAGGGTGATCACCTAAGCTGTCAGCTGACTGAGGGCTGGCTTAAGATCAGCTGACAGTAGCCTTTAGCTTGACTCCATGTCCAGCCTGAACTACTGCTATGCTTCATTATTCTGCACTTTTTACTTACCGTTGCAATTTCTTATATTTTCAAATTTATTCCTATTTCTATTCTCCTTCCATTTTTATTTGTGTTTTCAAGAGTAGGTGTAACAACTGTATTATTCCTTGGAATAAAATATTCTGATTCTTACTAATTCAAATATTGCAAAAATAAATAAATAAATAAGTAAATAAAAAATAGCAAGAGAGGTAAAATTGGAATAAATATGGAAAAAATATTCCAAGGGGTGAATATTAGAAATAATACAAAAGTGCACCATGAAAAGCCAAGGCAGAGAAAGCAGCAGCAAATAAATATGATTAAGATAAATACCTTAAAATCCCCCAAAACAACCATACCAGGAGACCCTCCAGGCTCTCATTTGCTACATGAAAGCTGAGGCAGGGAAAGCAGCAAATAAATTAAAAGCCCCCCAGAACAACCATAGCAGGCAACCCTCCCCAGCTTTCATGAGCTATATGAAAGCACAGGGGAGGGAGAGAAACCTACCCACCTCCAAAGCTTGTGTAGAATAGGTTACCCTCAAAACATGATCATGGAACAGTATTAATTTCATCCATGCACATATTTATAATTGGGAATATGCTTAAGACACTTATGGCAGCCAGACCAAACCTGCTAGGAACCCCTGAATCAGTCCTTTTATCAAAGAATTCACAAACAGCGGTTGGGATGCTTTGCCAGTGCCTTCCCCAGCTCAGGGACATTTGACATTAGACAGCTTTATTCTCTCTCCTTTTTTACAAGGCGGGTGCGACTTGGCCATGCTGATTTTAGATGCCCGTCCCTGCAGTAACTTGGCCTCGCTGAGTTGTAGGCCTAGAAGAGACTTGGGTGGTTGGTGTTGAGACCTAAATATAAGAACGTATTATTTAATTTGGAGTGTAAGATTTTACATATTTTGATAATATAATTTAGATACCAGTGAGTCAAATAGCTTAAAAACCAAGCGAATGCTATTTAAATTGTGTTTTCATTTTGTTTAAAACGGATATTTTTCGGACTGAGGTCAGAGGTGATGTGATGTCATCAGCGGGTGTGGAGCGAGTTTTGTTGTTGTTCTGCATGTGCATCTGACGGGAGTCAGGGTGTCTCCACGCGTCTGTGTATGCCTCAAAAGAAAGAAAAACTAACGAAAAACGAACATGGAACTGGGATAAATAAAGTTGCCAAACAGAGAGATGGAGTCATGTCTGCTTGAGAGTGCAACATTGGCCTGTAGCCAGTTTTAGAGCACATATTGGAGGTGTGAGCAGGAGTGAATATAGGATAAGGCTCTTGCAGATACTGTACCCATGGGCTTTGAACAAGAGGAGCATACCCAAGTTAGGCGAGGTGCTGACTCTGATGCCACAGTATCATCATCTGCTGCATCTCTCTTTTTCTTGAACATAAAATCATTTTTTTCTCTGCATTTTGTCTTATTTCTGCATTTCAATTGATGCAGCTGTCTCTTTAAAAGTTCCCTCCTTCCGCGAAAGGCTGGAGTTGGGCCTCAGCACCTAGTCAACCAGCGTCCAATTCAAAGTGCGTATTGAGCTCCCATTTTCTGGATTTTGTATGTGGAGGCAAATACGACTTACTCTTAAGCAGCATGGTCCTACAGTGCCTTGCGAAAGTATTCGGCCCCCTTGAACCTTTCAACCTTTCGCCACATTTCAGGCTTCAAACATAAAGATATAAACTTTTAATTTTTTGTCAAGAATCAACAACAAGTGGGACACAATCGTGAAGTGGAACGAAATTTATTGGATAATTTAAACTTTTTTAACAAATAAAAAACTGAAAAGTGGGGCGTGCAATATTATTCGGCCCCTTTACTTTCAGTGCAGCAAACTCACTCCAGAAGTTCAGTGAGGATCTCTGAATGATCCAATGTTGTTCTAAATGACTGATGATCATAAATAGAATCCACCTGTGTGTAATCAAGTCTCTGTTTAAATGCACCTGCTCTGTGATAGTCTCAGGGTTCTGTTTAAAGTGCAGAGAGCATCATGAAGACCAAGGAACACACCAGGCAGGTCTGAGATACTGTTGTGGAGAAGTTTAAAGCTGGATTTGGATACAAAAAGATTTCTCAAGCTTTAAACATCTCAAGGAGCACTGTGCAAGCAATCACATTGAAATGGAAGGAGTATCAGACCACTGCAAATCTACCAGGACCCAGCTGTCCCTCCAAACTTTCATCTCAAACAAGGAGAAGACTGATCAGAGATGCAGCCAAGAGGCCCATGATCACTCTGGATGAACTGCAGAGATCTACAGCTGAGGTGGGAGAGTCTGTCCATTGGACAACAATCAGTCGTACACTGCACAAATCTGGCCTTTATGGAAGAGTGGCAAGAAGAAAGCCATTTCTCAAAGATATCCATAAAAAGTCTCGTTTAAAGTTTGCCACAAGCCACCTGGGAGACACACCAAACATGTGGAAGAAGGTGCTCTGGTCAGATGAAACCAAAATCGAACTTTTCGGCCACAATGTAAAACTATATGTTTGGCATAAAAGCAACACAGCTCATCACCCTGAACACACCATCCCCACTGTCAAACATGGTGGTGGCAGCATCATGGTTTGGGCCTGCTTTTCTTCAGCAGGGACAGGGAAGATGGTTCAAATTGATGGGAAGATGGATGGAGCCAAATACAGGACTATTCTGGAAGAAAACCTGTTGGAGTCTGCAAAAGACCTGAGACTGGGACGGAGATTTATCTTCCAACAGGACAATGATCCAAAACATAAAGCCAAATCTACAATGGAATGGTTCATAAATAAACGTATCCAGGTGTTAGAATGGCCAAGTCAAAGTCCAGACCTGAATCCATTCGAGAATCTGTGGAAAGAGCTGAAGACTGCTGTTCACAAACGCTCTCCATCCAACCTCACTTAGCTCGAGCTGTTTTGCAAGGAAGAATGGGCAAGAATTTCAGTCTCTTGATGTGCAAAACTGAGAGACATACCCCAAGCGGCTTGTAGCTGTGATTGCAGCAAAAGGTGGCGCTTCAAAGTATTAATGCAAGGGGGCCGGATAATATTGCACGCCCCACTTATCAGTTTTTTATTTGTTAAAGTTTAAATTATCCAATAAATTTCGTTCCACTTCACGATTGTGTCCCACTTGATGTTGATTCTTGACAAAAAATTAAAAGTTTATATCTTTATGTTTGAAGCCTGAAATGTGGCAAAAGGTTGAAAGGTTCAAGGGGGCCAAATACTTTCGCAAGACACTGTATTGGATTACTACGGTTACAATGCAGAGTGCAGACTAATGTGCAGCAACACACTAAGCAAATGTGGCCTATGCTGCAGGGGTGAAAGTTTGCGTACTGCTTTGTACCGGCTGTAAACTGCTGATTATGTCTTCCCGGAACGGTGTACCGCTGTGTACCACTGTGTACCACTGTGTACGGGCTCACCTCTGGGTTGGAGAGAAAGACTCACAGATTGAGCAGGAAAAAGCTTGTGTGCCCAGTGAAATGCCAACTGATTAGAGCCAGGTCGACTACGGACTAATCAAGTCTTTGGTTAAATCTTTGAATGAACACAGCAGCTTTGCTGAAAATGATTTGTGATATTCCTAGAATAATGTTCCTCCATAAGTAATGGCTGAATCAGAAATGATGGTGAGAAATTAGCCTGACTGGGCCATCCAGTTGCGTGAATCACTTGCCGTTCCTTCCCACAACAGTCTGGACTTCAGCCAATTGGGAGCCCTAAAAGTGGGCGGGAGTACTTTCCTTGATAGACAGACTGCTGTAACCAATCACCGTAACCAAACATCTGACGTCATCACAGTGCGCAACTGTGTTCCCTGCTGGGCTCTCAAGCATCAAGTAAAGGTTTGGTTATATTTCAACGTGTGCGAGCAAACAATGTCTTTTACGTCTTTTTCTGCGGATATAAACAATTTCTGCCAACTTTGCAAAGTCAACTGCAGAATTAATGGTATTCTGAATGAACGGCGCTTTGAAAAGTCCCGCAGCATGTGTTAGACGTCACCATCTACACATAGACCAAACAG